GGGGGGGGGGGGAGAGAGAGAGAGAGAGAGAGAGAGAGAGAGAGAAGCATAAATCTAATGAACTATGGCATAGAGTGGCTAGTTAATGAAGAAAAAGATACCTGAATCTTGTTATTAGAAAAAAGTTCTTCAACCAATGATCGGTCTCGGTCATTGAGTCCTGCATGGTGCAGTCCAATTCCAAACCGTAGTGTATGTCTTAAGTTGTTGTCAGTGATTTGTGAAAGAACCATTTCAAGGGATGCTTCTGGAATATTAAGAAATTGCCTTGGACTTTCATCTGATGCTGCAAGCTGTTGTTGAAATTATCAAACTAAATTACTCATAAAAGGAATCAATAATTTATCTGCAACTAAATGTGTGCCCCACCTGGATGAGATCAAGTGCAGTAAGTCTTGTCTGACGGCGTGAGGAGACAAAAATAAGAACAGGTTTTGCAGGTGAATGGGTACATATGGCAGCATAGGCAGGTTTGTTCATGCTATTCATCCTCGGACAGTAAAACTTGCCAGGATAACCCTGTTTGTGGAAACATATTTAAATAATCATTTAAGCAACCAAGTAAAACACTATAAAGATCCAAATTTCCAAAGCCAATCCACGTTGGAAATTAGAATTAGCTAAAATTTTAAGGGACAAAAACTTTGCAGCTGAACAACAACCTGGACATCTGTATAATAATGCACATATATAATTTGGCATCATGAGTGCCAAACATGCACATTACATGAAATTAGTGATCATAAACAATAGAGAGAGAGTTAAGAAATGAAGCAATCCAGCAGAGTTGTGTGAAATGAAATTATCTGATGTGCAGTTCTTTCTTATTAATGCTAAAGCCCATTAAAAGGAGCAATCAGGAGAGAGCCTTGCCTGAATGTGAACTTCAAGAGGTACAGGCCGGACACTAGGTTTGAAATTGAATAGACCATTCTCTCCAATACCCAACCAGTCAGCCAAATCACTGAAAACTCAAAATACAGAACCATCTAATAAGATTTCGCAGGAAAAGAAATTGTCGCTAGGAAGAAACTATATCATTCACCAGGCTGGCATATTATGCACTAACATTATTAAGCTTAATAAATCAACTAATGAAACTAAGTATTAGCCCGTGAGCAAGTTTTACTCTTCATGAGGTCCTGGGTTTGGAACCTTCCTTTATAAATCATGAAACAGATATTTCATCACAATGAAGCTGCAAAGGATGATCATTTTAATGATAAAATTTTGCAATTATTAAACTATATAAGCAAAAACAATCCACCGGGCATTTGCTAATGCTGTTGACCGACCTACAAAGCATTTAATTAATGATAGAATTATGCAATTATAAAACTAACTAGGCAATCATTACCCACCGAGCATTTGCTAATGCTGTTGACAGACCAACAAAGCGTACTGAGCGCTCTGTTTGTGAGGAAATGTATCGCATCCTAGAAACAATGACCTGAAAAGTAATTGTTAGAAGACTTGATCAAACTGACCATTTACAATTAATTTTGATTGCAAAACACAAAAAGGGTTTGTGAACAAATGGAAACATAGAGCTCAGACAAAGAATAGGAAATTTGAAGTTTCATCTCGAGCACTTGCAGCAGAAATAGGGCAACCTGTTCTTTAAAGAATGGATGTTACTCTATCAGTCTATTGTGATGAACTTATCTCTCATTTAAAAAGTTGAACATAGCAACAAAGCACTATCAGTGTATGCTTTAAAGAGTCTTAAATATTGAAATAACAGCAAATCCCCACGATAATAAATTCAAGAACAGCTAGATTATAATGAACCAGACATCTCTAGGACACACATTTCACATATTGATGAAAATGAAAACAAGCATTCGCTCATATGACACCAAAAGAATGTCAAACAACATTCATAGCCCCAACGAGCTCTTATAAGTGACATGAATCCCATAATAGTATGTGAATTGCCACTTTATAAGTAAAACAGTCCAGTTAATTAACAAGCAATTATTAAGAAGATAGAAATTTGACAAACTAAGACATTTAATAACAACAAAAACAATAAATTTGATTGTTCCTAGAATATTACTCCAATATAATTTTTATCATTCTGTCAAGATGTGTTCATTTTCAGGAAAAAATATCCAACAGTAGGATAACAAGAGAGAGATGCTCTGGAAACTACACAGAAAGTCTAGACTGGAGATCAGGTCTTCCAGGAAGGATGGCAACACTCTCTCAATATGAGTGGTTCACTAGCCTGGTGATAAGAGGTAATCTCTTGGAGCAAGAGGTCAGCATTCAATGTAACGAGTCATTTAAACAATAAACATCAATAAGCACCCATATTCTGAAGTAGTACAGCTGAATGGGAAACATATCCATGCAGCCACCCAGATATTAGTCTCTAGATGCTTCTCATGATGTACATTTTAAATGCCATTAATTTGAATGAACTTTTGCTTAAAGAACAAATCTGACTTGTTAACATGTTTCTCTTTCATCTCCTATGTTACAGCAGAAACGTAACCACAAACGAGCTCCTAAAGTGTGCAACTAAATAATGGATGTAAAAAAGGAATATTGTTAAAGCCATTAGTAAAATAGCAAATTTCTGTGCACCCTTAACAGTGAAAGAGTATAATTAAGTACCTCAAGAATAGGTCCTCGATCAGCTCCCAATAAATGTATTTCATCCAATATCATTAGCCCGACCTGCCAGTAGGCTAGAAATATAAGTATCCAGTAAAGACAAAAAAAGGTCAAAACAGAGCTTTTACCTTCATTACATAACTGCGACTTTGCCAGCTGCGACTAATCCCATCCCATTTTTCAGGAGTAGAAATAATAATATCAGCCGACAATAGTGCCATAAGATCTGGAGTGAAGTCGCCAGTCATCTCAACCTAAAAAAGGATTATTCTAGAACACCATGGAAGCATCTTAATGTAATGCAATTAACCATACACATTGCCACATACCATTTTCTTCCCAAGCTGGGAGACAAGACGTTTCTTCCAGTCATTCATTCTTTCTCGAACAATTGCCTTGAGAGGAGCTATGTAGACCACCTGAGAGTAATAATAGTACTCAAAAACTTTACTGACAAAGACATGCACCTAAGTCTCCGGTATTTATCAACATAAGCACATAAAATCTAGGGAAATTGCCCAAGATAAGCATCAAAATTTTGAAATACCAAATTACCAATTTTTTATGTTTACAACAAAAGGACTTTTTCTTATTCAAAAAATATACCATTTTTGTCCCTATGTAATATAAAGGCTATTACCTAGCATAAAATTTATGGAAACAAGGTGTCACATGATATAAACATGGTAATATGGTATCAAGCTTAAATACTTCCAATACACTATCCGATCATATGTTCTGTAATAACTATGGAATCAAAAACTGATCGAACCAATATGAACCTATCTGATCCACTATTGGGATCTAACAAAGCAATTCGCCCCGGTTTGTTCAGAACTCAAATTATCAGGAGGTAACATTTGTTAACTGAAATTGCCACTCAATTTTAGACCACTGATGCCACTCAATCCAAAAAAGGTAAATCTGAAGGTTATCCTTCAATTCAATCATTTTCTAGTTTGTTGCAAGAAGTTTAGGGTTAGATTTCTAATCTAGTAAGATAGTTTTTAGATGAATCTATAGTTAGGTTGTAGGTGTTTTTCTTAACAGATTTGGGGCTAGACCCAAGAGGACCAAGCCTTCATCCATGCAGGTCCAGCCTAGAACTACAAGGATAAATGTGATACTAATGAATTTAGACTAAATCCACAATGATCAGCATTAATATGCATGGATCTAGTCTAAATCCGCGAGAATCTAGAGGATTAAAACTTGATCCAACATCCATCTCATTTCATTTATAAGACAATTAAGAGGAATAACAAGTGTCACAAGCAGTTGACTGAAGTGAGAAATTGTCATGCCCATTGTTCAGAATGGTTGGGCTTGAAGCAAGCAGTCCATATAGACCACAAAACAGTGTAGCCCAGTTCAACTGTCGCAATAGCAAAAAACATCGAGCTTCATAGTTGAAAGCAATCGATGAACAAAAATGTTAGCCAATTGATAGTACACCTTAGGTTCGTCATACCATGACATGCCGCCCGATATGGGCGATATGTACTAGTCCAATAGGGGACTGGTATAGACAATACATACTAGTCTGTTGGTACATCCCACCGTACCATATGTCAGTACGTTGGTATGTACCGTGCCTACAATCAATCGGTCCACCAATACCGACCAGTAAGGCGAACCATATAGCTTAAATACCATACTTTCTAAGGTCCAAAGAGATGAGAACGACATGGCCAAGCCTAACGGTCTCATATTCCTTCTACAAAGTAGAGCATGAACCGAGGAATGATATCTCCAGTCATACCACCCAAGTTGAGTATCATGGCACGCATGGATCCATACGATTTGTCTATGATCACAAGGAGAAAGGAAAGACAAAGGTAATCGATGACTACTAAGTGATGTGATAAAGTTTATATAATGTCGAATCCAATGGGTTCCTCGAAGTCATGGTCTTCCATCCAACATGGATCTCATGGCCAATAGTTTCATTCATGGTGATAGTTATTATTTTTCAAGAGTCGAATGCCCTATATGGCTCTTAGCATAAATAAAGTCATGACTCATGACAACCATAACTTTATCACACTACATCTTGCAAATCTGTACTTGCCACGATCATTCATCTTAAATGTCTTCTACCATATCGGTTGTCTATGATGATGAGGTCACCACTACTAACATATTACTGCATCAATGGCAAACTATTTACCAGTATCAAATGTCATAGAGGTAGTTTCATGCACTGGTCCTTCAAAATTACAAACTTTATTTTATTATTTACAACGGAATCACATTGAGGCCTTCAAACCACATTTTAAGGACTCAAGATGAGCATTTTGGTGGCAGGAGGCATAATTTAATCCATGATATTAATGCTTTTAAATTTTAATTAGGATTCTTCTATGCATGATTTCTATATATACTATTTATAATCCATATCCTAAATATATTTGAATTCATTATTCAATGTTTTATAATTAAAATTCACCTATAGTTGTTGAATATTGACTCTAATTAGGTAGAATTTGTTGAAAACCCCCAAGTCGTTTTTTTTCAGCTGACTTAGATTGATCAAAGTCTTGCAAACTGGTACACTTGCATACTATCTATCAATGTACTGGTATATGAACTGGGATTGTACCTAGCCTGACCAAAGACCGATATAGTAACCAAGGAACGCATTTTCGAATGTTTTGGTATGGTTCGACTTTGACCTTTATTGACTGGTCCAACTCACATGTGGGCTAGCCCAACTTCGAACAGTTCATACATAATACAGGACTTACCAAGCAGTAAGCACAGTCAACTGGGCCGTAAAGCTTGTGAACTGGGCTTATCGCCCTGAGCCCAGTTCAGGCCTGATATTGGGCTTCGAACTAGCAGTAAGCCCAACCCTTTTTTTTGTTTTAAAAATAAAAAATTAAAACCCTAAATTATCTAGTGCATTCTCCCATGCTCACATCCACGCCCTGCATCCTTCACCACTCACTAGTTGTTGTTGGCCTCTCGCCTCCAGCCACTGCCTCCTCATCTCCTCCCCCACCACCTTCTTCTTCTCTTCTTCCTTCTTACTCCCCTTGTCTCCCTCCTCCAATGGTTTGCAGTCTGTTTCAGCGTACCGACACATGGTATGCCGGAATGGACCAAAGGAAGGACACAAGATTCGGCTATGGACGGTCACAGGTCCGATAAACGAATCTGCAAACCTTGATAGTGACCATACGAAACTTGAAACTTGGATCATAAGTATCATATAATACATGGACAAATTTTATCTTTTGATCTGCAAAGAGAAAAAACAAGTAAAAATTGAATAAAATAATCTATGGTTATTAAGTAAATCTAAAAACTTGCAGACTTTTTGGACCAATTGCCCTGCATCAAACCTTCATATCTGGTTGAGTGTTGAATAAATGCAGCATCGCAAGCTCAGCTGATATGGTCTTTCCACTACCAGTTGGAGCTCCCAAGAGAACATTGTCATCCAAGTGGTTTAGGACATGGAAAGACTGCAACATTAATTAGGAAGCAAGTTCTTGTAAAATGACTATCTAAAGCAAGAACCAGAAATACAAGAATAAAAAGCATGAGAACAGTACCTGAGTTTGGATTGGATTGAAGTGTGAAAAATTGTACAGGTTTTCATAAGCTTCGTTTCCAAGAGAACTTACAGGAAGAGGTTTCAGATCTAGAAGTTCTGTGTGTGATACTTGTGTCTAAAAATAACAGCCTTCAGAATATGACAGTAGTAGCATCATCAAAGAAAAAACTGACAGATACTGACCTCTGGCAGTGTAAGATTATGGAAGGATACAGTATAAAGTGACTCAGCATACAACCAAGAATCAGACACAGCACGAATGTAGTACTGTGGTGGATGTGGTTCAAATATTGGAATAGTAAATGAAATCTTCTGTGGTTCAGCCCTTGCCATTTTCTTTGTCAATATAAAGAGTTCTGAATGGTAAATGTGGTCATTCTCTGAATCCTGATAAGGAAGTAAATTGGCAATATAAGGACATGCGGTGCCTAGACATGAATGCTTTCACTAGAACAGTTTAAGATGTAGGTACAATATTTTACCAACAAGAAAATGGCATTTGGCCTATTACAAGATATGGATTGCATTACTGCAACAGAAAATTTTGTCATATTATCAGGAAATTAGCATCCACACATCCTAAAATGTGATTACAACTGGTTACTCAAACAATTCTAGCAAAATCTAGATCCTAAGAGTTCCATCTCTACCTGCCGTGTCATGTTTTTTTTTTTTCCCTCTTTTTGACAAAAGATAAGTGATGAAGTTCGGATTTGATCTCCAAACCTTGTTATCAATAGTCAAGGTCTTTACCAACTAAGTTTTCTTATGTCTTCCGAGATTTGTTGGATAAGGTTGAACCCTCATCCTTTGGTAAGTGGGTCCTACTTTATCATTGCTGATGCAGCCTCGTTAAGTTGCTATTGTGTCAATTGTCACGACATGATTAACCACATAGTCCAGAAATGCTTAATTACAAATCTATAGTAGTAAGTCTATCAGGTTTTTAACGCAACCAATCATGAACATCAAATAGGACTATTGGACACCATAGTTAAACATTTTTTTCTAACATTGCAATTTCCTTTCTTAGTAACAGGGCAGCAAATAAAAAAGAAAAAAATAATTTTAATAAGTACACAATTCTGAAAATTAGAAACCCTTTGTTCCAAAGGGACAAGGGATTTAGACTATGTCCTATTCCAACCTATTCCACCCACTTCTTTAAATAATATTAACCATTATTTACCAGAAAAACAGGCTATTTGCTTACTGTCATGTTCTTGCAATATGAAAGTCAAAATATGTCTAAAAATAATTCTGAATCCCTTGTGCAAAACCTACTGAGAAATCCTACCTCACACTGAAATTATCTTAACCGACCTACAATATTGTGTCATCATAAGCTGACCATGTTCATGCTACTTATTGTTTCAAAATGTCTGAAAACACTAGAAGTTGTTCGGTTATGAAAATGTTAAGAACAAGTTCATTAATTCATGCAAAGCAGACAATAACTAAGGATTTTAATGATGACAAACACAAAACACATTTTATGTACCTCAACAAGGATCCACCAGCGCTCAGCAGTACCATGAAACCGGTCCTTCCAAACAAAGTCTGGAGTTATAAGCAGATCTACCTAGAGAAATGACATGATATCAAGCTAAAAAATATCACTCCTGGGTGATGACAAGGATTTCAAGCAGGTTAGCTGTAATGCACTATACCTTTAAAACTGTTCTGGTAATTGGGCTAACAGTAGCAGATAAACTGATGCTCGGAAAGTAACCCAGGAATTGCTTGACCAACTACCACAACAAAATAAAGCCAAAATGTGTTTGATATTAAACTAAGAGCAGCTTATTATCATATTTCAATAGTAACACACCTTTCCACCAGGAGCATAACGAATTAAAGCGCCAATATCTTTCTCTTCCATCTCATATAGACGGTCCAAGTCTGTGCCTCTTTCTTCAAGTTTTCTCAATACCTGAAAATGTATAACTCAGAATACTTTGTAGTCATGAGTTCAAAATAGTGAGACAGTAAAACACTGTGTCAACAAACTTCTGCTGAAAGCTCTCGGTCAAACTGTCTAAGTGGATGTTGATAAGGCCAAATTTGTCGATCAACAGCCTTGCAATATTGCAACATGAAAGATGACATTTCGCACCATCCCCTCCGCAAACAAATCTCAAATAGAGCACGCATAATGCGACCCAGGCTTGCACTAATATATGCAGCATCTGAGATTAGAGAGAAGCTCTCAATTGAACCATGTGAAATGTACACCTAGAGAAATTCCATCAGAATGATTTCAGAAATTGGACTTCAAGTCACATACAAAAGGAATAAATATTAGATTCACATATGTAGGTACACACCTGAATAAGGATTGAAATTTTTCCATGCTTGTCAGTTGTTCCACCTTTTATTTCCAATGGGCATGACATTTTGGATAGATTTTCCAGTTCGTCCTGTTCCTCCTCTCTAACAACAATGTTCTCAAATTCAGAAGAATGGGCTACCATATTAATAACCTGCAGTGTAGAATATTGGTGAAAACAATTTAAGCAATATATATATATATATATATATATATATATATATATATATATATATATATATATATCTCACTAGACAGAATCAAAATCTGGAAATAGCCGTACTTCACTGTCGCTCATGTGGCGCCTAAGCATCTCATTGTAAGTCTCAACACTGGAATACTGAAGGTAAAAGTGGCTGGCTATGCGGCCAAGCTCTGTGCAGTAGAAATTGCCACTTTTCTCATCAAAGCGCATCATTTTTGCTTTGTCAAGAGCACGTGCAGCGTCAATTATAAGAGACCTTTGCTTGGAGGCTAAAGAAGGATCACCAATGACCTAAAAACAAAGAAGAAAGCAAAATGTTAGCCTAAAGAAAACTTTCCCAACCAACCATCATTCAAGGAAATATTGATTAGGACTTATATTTTACAATGGTTACAATTAGGGTTTTTAATTTCGAATGATACCGCCCGTACCAGGCGGTACGTACCGGTCTGTTGTACAATGGTTATAATCAGGATTTTTAATTTCGAATGATATCGCCCGGTACTATTGTACAATGGTTACAATCAGGGTTTTTAATTTTGAATAATACTGCCCGTACCGGGCGGTACGTACCGGTCCGCCAACAGATCGGTATGCGGACCGCCCACTATCGGGCAGTATCGTCGATTGGGCCTATTTTTGCCCCGTTATCACCCGAAACCAGTCGGTGACGGTCGATTTTGACCGTCGTCGCCCGCTACTAGGCGGTATTAGCCGAGGGAGAAGGAAGAAAAGGGAGAACATGGAGATCCGGTGCCGCTCTCCCTCGACGATCCTGATCCGTCGCCGCCCTCTATCACCGGACGCTGTAGATGAGATGTCGCCTCCTCCTCGTCTGAGGTGACGAGGCCTCGGCGTCGCCAGCGACTTCTCCTAATCCGCGTGGGGAGAAGAAACCTTGGCGACGTCGTCGAGGCTTCACGAGGAGAAGAAACTTCCTGCGAAGAAACCTTGGCGACATCGTCGAGGCTTCGAGGTTTTCTTCTCCCTATGCGAAGAGAAGAAATGACGCGACGTCGCCCTTTTTTATTTTTTTCTTTTATTTATTTATTTTATTTATTATTATTATATATATATCAAGCGGTATGCCAAAGCATACCGCACGGTATACTCATACCGTACTGTACCGAGCTAAACTCAATACTCCGGTACGATACGAAATTACGAACCTTGGTTACAATTAATCGATACAAATTACTTGGTTGGCCCATACAACTTATATTGACTTACAACAGTGCTTGATGAAAATTCAGTTCAAAATTACATGCAAACCGGTATTTTTATGAGGTAGTCTAAGAGACATAACTACAATATTCCTATTTCTTGGTCGGGTACTGGGAGACAGATGATCATAGCGAGGTAACCACAGAGACTTTGTTCAGTAGAAAAACCTAAACTAGGTTTGATTTTAGTAAAATAAAATAGAAAGTTTACATCAAACTCATGCTGCAACATCACAAACTTTTATCTCCAGCCAAGATTTTTCTTGTTACCTAAATTACAAATTTACAACATCAAAAATAATTATGGTTTAGGGCTTGAGGCATTCCTTAACTTTCATAGCTTTCAGCTTCGGCAGCACAGTGAAGGAAACAGAATGAAAACAGCAAGTATTAATAAAACTATTGAATATAAAAATTACACTTGAAAAAGTAGAACATTCAGATGATGAAGGTTGGGATTAATATTTTCAAAGTGATATATAGACAATGTACATAGTCAACTATTTAGACATGGTTTATGCTCATGCCAGATTCATATGGAAGAATAAAAAAAGAATACCAAGAGTAAGAAGAAAAAACCACTAGGGCAATTCCTGTTGTTCTAACATTTGCAATGTCGAACATGAATCCCATCTTGACAGGCACACTAGCCTTGTTAAGTAGAAAACCAGGACGAGAAGTAAAAAAGAAGCAACAGCAATGTCAATCAGAATTCAAGATGAATTTTATAATTTAGAGCATAAGAGTCCATAAGAGAATTTGGGATCTTATTGAAGAACTATAAGAGACAATAATTCAACCACCATGCTTGACTACTAGGAATATCTAGCAAACAACAATCTAGTGGCAAGAATTAACAAGAAGCTGACAGAAATCTTTAAATGCATTAGAATGATAAAATCCAGTATGATGTGGACCTCATCCCATGATATTCCATACACCAGAGGATTCGTCTTCATCCGTATAAATAAATACGTATAACCAAGCCAAGCACAAGCTTCTTTGACATTTGTTACGGTTCCTAATGCTACCTCAGCATTCAAGTTATCCTTCATTGAGCTAATAAACTGCAAAAAAGAAAACAATAAGCCATGCTAAGAATAAAAGACTTCATAAAAGAATAATAGCTAAAACCAAAAAATATCATTTCAGAGTTAATTATTAACCAAAAACAGCAATATATTCAGTGGCACAGCTAAACAGAATTTTATGTTAGCACCAGTCCAGCAAAAATGAGAAGGAATTTGAAAAGACAGTATTAAAAATTATCGTGTCTCACAACAATGACGCATAAAGCAGGAGACAAGCACAATCCACATTTAATTTGAAATAGGGCCAGAAAACAAGAATATCTGCATTTAATCAAGTCAAACCTTGATGCCAAGAATTATTTAATTGTAAAGACAACATTATAATAGCAAACTGAGCCTGAGATTTTCAAAGCTGACAAGTAGTACATCACAGAAAAAAATAACAAAGTGAAGTAAAAAATAAGGCATTAATAACTACATATTCAGATATTCTTCAAAGTTCAAACAAAATGATAAAAACATATAACAAAAACCTAAAAACAGAGAAAAACCAAATTATAAAATGAGCAGGAAGCATCATACATTTACTCATCAGATTGTATAGTTGATAACAGAAGTTCCTATAATGTTTACAGATACGGTTATCCCAAATTCCAAATTGACAATACAGAAACTATCAATATGTCAGCAACGATTCCAGGGAAAAAAGCACCATGGGAAGCAAGAGAGCTTAATTGCTTTCTATAATAGATTTGATAAAGAGGAGTCAACCTGACTTTCTATTGGGAGTTGGCTTGTCAACAATCTCAAATAATAAGCCAGTTTGTCATGAGTTGTAAGTATGATGCCTTCACCACTCTTGTCAAACTGTGGTCTCCCAGCACGACCAAAGATCTAGCATAGTCATCCACAAAACAGTTTAGATGATTCTCGTTCACAAGACAATGACTCAAACAATTATCCAATTTGTGACAGCAGTACATGAATATTACCTGCATGACATCAAGCATACCCAAGTCCCGCCATCCACCAGCCTTAGGATCATACAGTTGTGTGCCCTGAAGTGGTTGCACAAACAAAAGACATCATGCATGCTATGAATCTTTAAACATGTGTGTTTATGTCTGTATCTACACATATGAAAACATTGTAAGTGTATATAACATAATATAATTATAACCCAACCAGTGATACACGATGTGTTCCATTCAGGATTTTACAATAAGCTGCAATAGGCATGGTATGAACACCTGCTTGATAGGAACAAGTTTCTTTTAGAAGTTGGTTTAAAGAAAGACGAAAATGATGGAGTTATTGACAACCAGCACAAACCTAAGACATGCATCCTCTTAGATTTTCTAGAAAGAGAAAAAAATGAAAAAGGAAAGCAAGCTATAGAGTTTGATCTCCATAATCAATTGAAGTCTGTTAGACAGAAGTCACTTCTACATAGATAATTTTCCAATTATCTTTTCCGGCAGGCTCAATTCAATATGATTTGTTTATAACTCATGGTTTTCTGAAGACATCTTAAAGCGAAATGACTGATGATCTTAAAGATGTCTAATAAGTCTTATCAATTGGGGTCCATGTATCTTCTGAGAAGCTTGTGTAGGTCCATGATTTCACGTCACATTTCTTATGATACACGTCTTTTCGTATGCAAATATCACTTGCAATGAACTAATGGTTCCAGACAATTTGCAGATCATATTTCAACCTTGTCCATAATTTGGTAGGCAAGTATAGCAATTCAAAAGAAAAACGATCCGGATCACGTTTTTGACACCCTATAACAAAGAGTGTTACACCCTGATCAAAAGTACATAATTTTCTAGGGCACCCACAATTCTGAAGCACATACACTGAAGGACACATCAGCTCAGAAAAATGAGAAAATAGACAATATGGAAGCATGGAGTGACAAATATCAACTTCAGAGCTTCCTTAGCAAAGAAGGTGTCACCAAACAATCATCTTTCACTAGGCAAATTAATAAACCAATTAGTTGCTAATATGTTTGGTTAAGAACTTAAGATAGAATGAACACAAAGGTCTCCTGCTCCAACTTACCTTGATAATTACTGTATGAGCTGGCAAATTTACTCCCCACGCCAAAGTTGCAGTACATACAAGAACCTGAAGCAGAAAGTTTAGAGCATTTTTTCCACTGTCGTGACCAAGAACTGTCCACTGACAACCTAATTGTGCTTACTTTAAGTAGACCATCAGAGAAAAGACGCTCAGTCAGGGCTCTATCCGAACGAAGCATACCAGCATGATGAATACCAAAGCCAGATTCAAATAACTCAACAAGTTCTCGATTTCTGGATTTAGTAACTTCTTTCTGAAATGCGTAAAACAATCAGTCATCTAAAATTGGACATAAGTTGCCACCTGCAAGTACCACTGGCAGTTTACCTTGACCAAAGGAAATTGAGGATGTTTATCATTCATAAATAACTCCAAGTCACCAGCCTTTAACGCTAACTCAATCTGCATCACATGACACAGAGAAGTATTAGAACAAACAAAGGGGAAAATTGTCAAAATGTAGTTGCAGGTCAAACAATACACCATGCGTCAACAGGTGATCAAGAAGAGAAAAAACATTCATGTCTATGCACAATTGTATGCACCAAACAAGATAGGTTCATAAAGCTGCAGTGAAGACAATTAAGATTTTCCTATTTGCAAAAAAACCCAAAAAAGAACACTAGAGTCTTCATTTTTGTATGCTTGAGATAACCTGCTTGTTTAACTAGCACATTAGATCAAGAATATCCTCTGAGAAGACAATTTTTTTCAATATTTCCATTTCCCAATAAGAAATGTATCATGAAATAACTCCTATCAACAAATTTTCTCCCACCTGGAAGGGAAGTTTCGTTTGAGAAGCAGGTGTCAAAGATACTACAGGTAGTAACTCGAAGGTACAACCTCTTGTGAACAGGCTTTAATTGCCAGATCTGAATGGCTTCAGAAATAACAAACCACCACCAAGGTACTGGAAGGACATTGGCTTGATCCATCCCCTTAGGAAGTCACTTATCCTTAGTTATAATCAAGCACCTGGAGTCCACAAGCTTCTGCAGCTGAAGTTTCACATAGTACCCGAAATCACTCATCAGTGGTTAAACTGGCCTCTGGGTGGTGTAATAGAATTCAAGCCTTGTCTCTTTGTGTTGCCGATTGCAATACATAGGAGATTGATAGCTTCAGAGGCCTTACATATTTCCTCTTTATACAAATTTCTGTTTTGGGAAAATGATGAGTGAATTAACTAATCTAATTTGGAAGTACCACCACATTCTCAGCAGATGGTTGTTTGTGGCTAATCCTTAGAAGCAAGGTCATGAAAAAGGTTGGACTATTGATGCTTCCTGCAGCATCTGTAGGCTTGTAGCTATAGGCCTACAGCACTAAATTCATTGGCTATATTTTTTCAACAATGTTACTTAGCCAGATTTTAAATGCAAGCCATCGGACACCACATTGTGCATATGCAGTGTGAAGGTGCATATCCACTTTCTTTCTGAAATACATAAAAAATAGTTTAAAATTAGAAAAGCATAAGCATATCTTAGTGTCATCTGCATCAATTCAAAAGCCCCTATAAATTCCTAAAATATGATACTCATATCATGTCAATCTAACATAATCATGATATCAAATAAACGCATGTCACCACAATACAGAAAATTAATAATCAAGGACCTTCAGTACCAAATCAAGCTACTCAAAAAGGTGAACCATTGAGGAAGAGAAGCTAAAGTTTGCAAATAAATTATATCATATATGTTTCTAAAAAAATACAAAAAAAACTTTCCATAGCTTCACAACACTGTGAGCTAATTTATCTTGCTATAAAATTGATTACCAAAGTTCTTGCAGTTTTCCCAGTGTCCTTGCGTGAATGAACAAAAACCATTGCTTGATGTCCTTGCTTTATCGAGTCCAAGACCTGGTATAAATGGCTCATGATAAGTATCAAATGTCATCTCTATAAACCTATGAATCATAACATAAGTCAAGACCTTGTCATAGCATATCGAATTGAATAGAAGATTCTTTTTAGAATAATCTTTCTCACTGATCCCAATATACTGTTGAGATAGGGGAACTGGACGATAGCTTGAATCAAAAAAGAACAGTCCACTTTCTGGATTTACATGTAAAAACTGTGCAACCTGGTCATTTTTACAAAGATGTCACAAGTGAAGAAATAGATCAGAGCTAGAAGCCAGACTTTATGCATTGGTTGTTTATTGTAAAAAGTACCTCTAAATAATTCGGTAAGGTGGCAGATAAACCCACAATACGTATCATTGATTGTGTTGACTCAACCTGTAAAGTGACAAGTGATCAATTGAACAAATAGCAAAAACTAAGGAAATTCAACAAAAGATGTAACATAACTATGATAAGAAGCATCAGAACAGTACACATTGCTTGATGTAACATATGCATCAAGCAATATGTTAGTTTAGTTTAACAATCCATAGATTAGTTTACACCAGGTACTTGAGCCAGCAAAAATTTCATGGAAAAGAAGATCTATCAAACTAATGAATTTGTGAAACATTGATTTAGAAGGTCAGGACCTTTAAATGAGCTCTCCTCTGCAAAATACTGTACTATGTGAAGGAAAAACAAACAATAAGTAGAGAAAGTCGACTTAATCAGACATTATAATATACATTTTATGATGTCTCCAGAGTCCTTAGTCAAAACAAAGAAATTCAACATATCATTATCAGCAAGTTTAAGACATAATTATGTACATCAGACGTGTCCTGGGTATAAAATGACAACCAGCAACAATATGCAAAGCTCATTGACTGCAAGTGTAGAAGCCTCCTACAAGTCAGTTCTCTTTCACTCCCTCTGCATCTACATAAACTAACGGACCAATCTATTCAGCTGCCTCTCACAGATGTAACGTGTGGAGTCATACGTGGGTCCCACCACATAAAGGTAATCACATTTTCCTACTTTACATGTAATTGTATTAATTCTTCAACAAATCAGAATACAAACACAGTAGAATGAATAGCTCAAAAGAGGAATATTCAACCTAAAAACTCATCTAGCAAGATGTCTGAGTTGGTCCCTTGTACAGGCCATTAGTTGCAGGAAAAGAAAGGTTTACATGAGCGAAAGTTGGCTTTTCCCCTAAGAAAAAAATCCTGGCGAGATCACATATGTTCATACAAGAACACTCAACATGCTCAGGGGTCACTATCTTTCACATGCAAAAGCTTCTTCGTTACCAAAGAATTTAGCTCATTAAGGGAACTACCATTAACATATATATAGACTGAAAACCACATGTAAAAGACCTGATACCAAAGACAGTACACTTTTACTAAATCCTACAGTAACACAAAATATATCTATGAAACATGCCAAACAGTAAAAAGATCCCAGCAACACTGAGATGAGTCTCATAAATACAACATTAAGCATGGCATGATTAAGTGCTCTTCAAAGCCAAACTGCAGCTTTATAGCCAGCTAATTGCTCTGGACAAATTGCTGCTGACTCCTAGTACCCCAGTTAAAGAAAAGGGCAGTTCACTGCATAAGGTTCCCGTCAATATAGAATCTGGAGAAGATCAATCAGTATACTATAACATTGTAATGTTCAAGTTCATTTCCAAATAGCAATCTACAAAACCTATCAAAAATGGGCTCTAAATTTCTGTTCAAGATTTAGAAATTATAGGACAATGAAATCTTGAATGAAAATTGAGATTTAACAAACTTCTTTTTTGAAGAAGACGAAATTGACAGTCTCCCAAAGGCCTTATCCTCAAGAAGTCTGTCTGCTCTCATCGAGCAATAGCCATGACAAAGAAACGGATACACACGGGAAATCAATGACAAGTGAATTCCTCTTGTCCACCTCTAATTTTCTCCTCTTCTCCGCCACTTCCTTTCCTTATCTTCCTATGTCGATGATCAATGAATCGACCAAAATTGGATGGTGGCTACTGGCTACATTTTCAACCTGTTGAGGTAGCAGGACTTGTGATTCAAATAAGAATCAACCAGAACCATGATTTAAGCCATGAGCACTACAAATATCCAATGATTTCCTAAGAGCCAGATCATCCGATCTTTTACGCCATGGACAGTATAACAAAACCAATGTGTTCTCTAGAGGTTGTGGCAGATACGTTAAGAAGAATGATCTTGCAAAAGGCCATTGTCAAAGTAAGTAGTTACAATGTTATATCTGTTTTAGCTAAATCATATAGGAAATGACAAGGACTACATCTAAACAATAAACAATAAGATATAGAAGAAATTTACTTTGCTACGTCAAACATGTAGAGATGCATAAAATGTTAACCCAAAAGCAGTTTTGCACAACTCCAGAAACTTACTTGTCGGAGGGTTCGAGCAACAAGAGCTTCTATTACTGAGCCTCTGTCATCATTCAGCAGATGTACTTCATCAATAATTAAGAGCTTAACCAGCATTGACAATGACATATCACTGCTTTTGCGAGTAATAACATCCCATTTCTCAGGCGTCGTCACTATCATCTGAGTTCATAAAGTTAGATAGTTTTACACAGATGATTCTCATAGATGAACAGATTCGACATCAAGAGATAACCTGAGTCTCTTCTAGCTCATTCTTTGACAATTGCATGTCTCCAGTAAGTTCTTTTACAACCAGGTTTAGGGGAGATAACCGGTGACTGAATGTGGCAGTCACCTCTGCTGCCAAAGCCTATGCCAGAACACATCCGTAAAAATGAGCTGAGCTCGCCGATAAATCAAGATCACATGAAGAGGGGGAATACCTTCATTGGAGCCACATATACTATTTTGAATTCATCTTTGTGCAAAAATCCATCCTTGAAGTTTTGTTTGATCTACAACAGAAGATCTAAATTAATAACTAAAGAAATGGCTGTTGGAAAGATAAGAAGAAATAAATAGGTGATCTATAAAGGTTATTAAAAAATAGCAAGGATTATGAATAAAATTGCCCTTGAAAACATATGGTCATTCAGCTTTGTAGAAAACCACCTCATGGAGAATAGCTATCATAGCAATGTTCGTCTTTCCAGCACCTGTTGGTGCACAAACCTGCAAGATCATTAGATTTTAATATGGGAGAAAACCAAGTGCCATATTTGAATTCATTTACACTTCAAAACGAGATCATAAAGAACTGAAAGCAGTGTAGTTGTGTAAATGAAGAGGATGAAGCCTGGTTACAAGAATGTTTTCATTTGTATGATATGTTGTTTGGTATATACGACTCTGGATGCGGTTCAAGGATTTGTATCCACGGAAAGCAGCTTGAGCAAAATCATCCAGTTCTTTAATTTCAATCTGGTACAGAGAGAGGCCAAAAAATTGTAGTTAGAAAATAAGGAACATGTACTAGAAAATTTCAATCTGTTTTTCTTGTTGCATTGGGCAATAATTCAAGTTAAATGTTAGAAAAGCTTTAAAATAATAAGCTTCATTACCATATGGCAAACCAACACCTAAATAAGTCCTAACACCCTTGATATCTGGATTTACCACCAATCTTTAATTGACTACGCAATAAAACTATCGGCTACAAAGATTTCATGAATAATCATCAAGTCTGAAGAAAAAGTAACTCTAGTGCTCGCCAAACCTCAGATAAACATAGGCCAGATATGAAGCATTAAAAAAGATGCAATCATGGTAAGATCCCACAAAATCTCAACACTATTGTTGCAGTCAAGACTTAAGAGATCTAAGAATATGAGTATTACCAACAAAAATGTAAGGGCAAGAAAATTTTAGTTACTGAACCACAATCGGTAGCTTATAGCTTCTAGTTCTATCATCTTTGGGTCCTAGAAAGCAGGTGCAACCAATTTATATGTCAATCAAACATATGTTATTTGTTCATACAGAGGGTAATGTTTCCAAAAAGAAAAGAATTGTTAATTGATTCCAGGTGCAACTGGGATAAAGATGATATTCAGCTGCTATATGAACAATTGTAATCTAGTCTGGGATGAGTTAGAGATGAGCATTGAAAGAATCGAAGACAGGTGGATTGATTTGCTATAAGATCAGAGAAGAAACAGTTTAGTGGACTCTAAGATTGATGGGGACATGAAAAGAAAAAAGAGAGGAGAAACCAAGAGGCTGCTTTCTTTGGCTCATTAGCCATCCAATTCCAACCATGAAGGAACTGTCATTCAAATATATGAGACACACACACACACACAAAAGTTTCCAAGAGACCAAACAGCCTTTCACATGTTCAATTAACCCCTATACACAAGTCAACTATACTAATAAGTCAGATCTGAGTTCAACCTGGACTAACTCATTGTGGCCCAAATATAAATTAGCATGCTAAATGACCTCTTATAAATGTCAACTGATCTAGCAATCATATGATTCCAAGTTCAACTTATGCAGTTCTTCCTATAGTCTGTTGCGGGCAATTTTTCCTAAGCAATGGCAACAAAACACCTGTCTCATCATTGTGAGAAATGGTCTATTAATAACTACAGGTATAATCTGAGAGATATCCTAGAAGACCACGTGCAGACTTCATGGACTGGCCAGTTATTGCTAATTTTAGGTTGCATCAGCCAGGGTCTGCCGTACCGAGCCATACCGCCCGGTACGGGCGGTACATACCGGTCCGACAGGTTTTCGGTACGCGGACCGACTGTTACCGGTCCGAGATACTGTAGCAGTTACTGTAGCACTATAGTAGTGCTACAGTACTCGGTACACCTGGGTGTACCGCTCGGTATACCGTACCATACCGGTACCGAGCCCAGGTCGAAATACCGGTACGGTACGGTATTGCGAACCTTGGCATCAGCTGACTTAAACTAAAATTTACCCTTGATTCATCACATGAATGCAGACTGGCGTTGTAAAACTCAAATCTTCACTCAAGGCTTAGGTGCCCACCCCAGCGAAACGAGATGCTCCTGAATATATAATCACACACACACACACAGTTATATTCTAAGCAGTGTTTTCAAAAGAAGTGAAATTTAAGGTGGGTTAGTGGGCACTAACTGCTAAAGCAGTTTTTTTTAACAGTTGTTATATTCTAAGCAAGGTATGCAGTTTCGAATAATACCGTTCGTACCGGACGGTACATACCGGTCCGTCAGCTGACCGGTACACGGACCGCCCATTACCGGAAGATATATATATATATATATATACATATTTATTTATTTATTTATTTATTTATTTTTTATTTTTTTTAAGCGACGTCGCGTCACCTCGATGACATCGCCAGGAGAAGGATATATATATATATATATATATATATTAAAGGCGACGCGACATCGCCTTTTACAAAAAAATTTTATATATAAAAAAAATCTTTTATATATAAAAATGAGGCGACGTCGCCGAGGGGAGAAGATGACGTCGCCCAGCCTGGGGAGAAGAGGAAGGCGACGTCGCTGAATTTTATATATATATATATATATATATATACACCGCTCGGTATACTATATCGTACCGTACCGACATTTCGACATTCGCTCGGTACGGTACGATATTTCAAACCTTGATTCTAAGCAAGTGTTCTAAGTGGTGTTTTCATATCAATGTCATGTTCCTGCCTAGGTGAACTTAGAACTTCTAAGTTCTAACTCCTAACAGTGCACCACCTCAAGCTGCAGAAAGTTAGTCAATGAAAGACTATTACCTATAAAATGAGAAAGAGAGGACCGAGGAGATGGAGAAGTAACCAGCGAAAGGCTGTGGAGGAAGGTGAAAACCAACGGCAAACAAAACCAGAGATGGCGGTGAAGTGCCAACTGGCAGCAGACAAAGTTGCAGATGGTGGCGGACGAAATGGACGAAGCTGCAGCAGCGGAGAAAGCAGACGAAGGCGGTGATCAAAGCAGGAGCTGCAACAACGAATGAAGGCGACGGATGAGGAGTAGGGTCTCACTTCGCTTGTTTCTTTCACTGGGTGGCTCGAGTCTCGCCTCACCTCACTCAAGTGCTTTTAGAAACACTGGTATTGCCTTGTGATGCACGACCTCTGTCGAACATCCATGGCCTTCCAAGAAGAATGTGCAAAGCAATTCTCATCTACTGATTCTCAACAATGTAGTCCAATCTAACAATCCATGCAGTGCTGACTGTCAGACGTTTTAAGAAATAGTCCAACACTGATTTTGATAACCTATCAAACTTGTATGGTACCAAGATACCGAGCTCTACTGCAACCTATATTTCTCGGTATTACTGAAGAATACACTTTAAAATCTGCTGTGTAGTGCGTACCAAACGATAGCAAGTTATATGCTCCATTAACAGTACTTGGTCGGACCAATATATACAGATCAGATTTGAACTATGCAATCACCTTCTTTGTACAAACAGAACCAAGAAAGTGGTAAGGTTGCTCTGTAGGCTTCACTTCTATTTTAGTCCATCCATAAACATAGCACAAAAGCAAGTGGTAAGGTTGCGCTTGAGGCTTCACTTCAATTTTAGTCCATCCATAAACATAGCACAAAGGAATTATCTGTGCTTCACTATCAATAAGAATTCCACGTATTTTCACTCAGACAGTGCACTACTCTTAAGGATGGACTTCCTTGTCCATGCAGTGGACTTGGATCTAAATTTTAGGCAGAAGGGGTGTCACACCTTATGCGTGACTTGTTTAGTCTCATAAGCTAATACGAGCATAGACTAAAAATTTTGTTAAGATAATTCAAATGACAGTCAGTAAGCAACAAAAAAGACTTCTTTGCAAGTAAACATTCTAAGTCATAGCTTAAAACAAAAGTCAGACAACTACATACCGACACATATCTATCAGTTCGACCAAGTACTAAACTACTAATAATAAATGATCATTTGGTACCAGAAATTTTTGTTTTTTTATTTTTTTATTTAGTGACACCAAGCAGTTCTACCACTCAGTGTCATGGTACCATGTCGATCCAATAGGATACTGAAACCAATTCTGGAACAATATTTAATATCTTTCTCTATGGATTTGGGCGAAAAAAGCAGCTGGTTAACCACCAATGCCCCTTTTTTTAAAAATTATCTATCAAATATTTGTGAGTTCCTGGATGATAAGCTTTTGCATGGTTTATATATATCATTTACCTAGATCATTGATTCTACATTTCAAACTATATGTGGAAAGATAGTACTATTGATTTTGACAATCATGTTTCATAATAACCAAACATCTAAGAAACACAAAACACCACCATTAAGGGGAAGAGAAATACCAGCTTCTCATCAGGTCTCATAGCAGCAGTTGGAGTGGGTGGAATTCTAACTTCTTCATAGCCACTACGATGTGATCTTGTAGTTCCTTGAGGAAGAGCACTGACCAAAATAGAATTGATCCCTTGACCAGCTCCAATTAAGTCATCAAAAGGTTGTTTCTTCTCACTTGCCAAAAGAAGAGAAGAAAAGCTTTCAACAGGAAAATCAAGTGTCCCTCCATATTCTCCCACCCGTTTATTACGTTTCTCCTCCTTGCGACGAAGTTTATCAATTTGCCTTTCAGATTCAGTTTTTATAGTAACCTATCACAGCTCCATAAAATTATCAATCAAGTATTAAATAGATGAGATTACATTGTTGCATAACTTAGCATACCTGGGTGCCATAACTAGGCATCTTAGGTTGACTGTTTGAAGACATTTTCTCAGACTTCAACATAAGTAATCCATGCTGAATGGCTTCAACAAGTTCTTTGCGATGCTACATAAAAAGAGGGTGAATCAGAATCATAATCACATTAGTACATAGCAACCACATTATAGATGGAACAATTAAAAAGGAGTAAAAGCTGTGGAACAAAAAGGAAAGCTCAATAACCAACTCAGCTAGTTCTGATAGTGTTGAGTTTCGACTCTCTTAACAGCTAGTTCAGATATGCCGAGTGTGGACTCTCAAATGAAGACTTCAGAGACATGGCGAAAACAGAAGTTCAAGCTATGTCCAAAGATCTAAGAAAGACTTCAGAGACATGGTGAAAACAAATGTTCAAGCTATGTCCAAAGATCTAGATTCAGATGGGGATTACCTAAGCTTGCATGAATAGAACAACTAAAACGAGATGTTTGGAAAAACAAACAGCAGCAGAACCCGTTAAGTATCAACGAAGTATTACAAAGCCACCAGTGATAGTTGGGAAAGTTCTTGATGTTGTGGATTTGCATGTCATACTTAATCCTGAATTCCTGATAGCATAAGATATAAATTAAAACAGCAAGTAACCAGTAAAATGAGACTGTTTTCTTTATTAAACCATAATAGCTTCAAGATTATCCAAATGCTGATAATATAATTATAATACTACAGCTACCATTATGCAGACTACTCTAAGGATCACAACATATCATGAATAGCCAAATTCAAATTGAAATGAAACAACTAGGAGTAATTGATGAAAGAAGGAGAATGCGCTACTCTTGAACTTTCAATAAACCAATCTTCCAAACTGTCTCATTCATGGAATAACTACTTACCCTACGTAGATGATGAAAACATTATTAGAGCAAGATCAGATCACATTTGCATACCGACAATAGATCTTGTACTGTTTCAAAGGCACCATCGCCGACAAGGTCCAGAAGATCACCAGCTATCTTAAACCAAGAAACTCCCCACATTGTTAGAATTCAATAATTTTGACAGAGCAAAAAATTTGTTAACTCAAATGAGAACAAATTAAGTTAAATGACTTATGTAGTATGGACAACCAAATACCTCATCACCAGCTTTATCAGATAGAAGCACCCGGCATAAGGCCATAGCAAGTTCGTCTCCAGATAGCTGTGATGCACCATTCTTTACAATGAGATCACATGCATCCTTCAGCCATCTTAAATTGATAGTTTTTAGGTCAGCAGTTAAATTATGATCAATATACGCCATGTGACCATTACGATTGGCATCAAATGAAGCAGTCTTAAATTGAAAATCACTTGTCAAGGATGCACCATTTTCCAATGGCACATCGACAATAAAGCGAGATGGAGCATGGAAACTAAGGTTTGAGCCAAACTCGCCACGATTGTCTCCATGTTCATCTGCCCCTAAATCCTGGCCAATTACAGCTTCACTGGAAGTATTCTGAAGAGCATAAATCCTCTGAGCTAGAGAAGCCACTTTCAGTAGGACTGTATCTTGAATATTATAACCAACAAGTTGTTGCAACTCGATTCTGAAGAGCAAGTAGTTTCAGATATTATTTGATAGTTATCATAGAGAAATACAAAACTCATAACATTCTTTTGAGATCTATTATGAATTTACAGAAGTCCTCGACTAACGAATCTGGGTATAGACATTAAATGTATTAAGAGCAATGTATGTTGCATTTTTCTATTTCTTCTAATTTGACTGCCACATAAGCCAAAAGTAATATCAGATTGCAGCATTTAAACACTTTTTCTCTTGCCTTGTTAAGACCAAAGACCAGTTCTAATTATCACCCTTTTCATCCCTTTTATTCATCTTAATTTTGGTTTCTGTTCATGTTTTAAAGTTTCTTATTTGACAGGTTTCCTTATTCCTTGTGTAGAATAAAATATCAAAATAGAATCAAAAGAAGAATCAACAAGACAAGAGATAATTATAAGATAAAAGCCTCTCTGAAGTCTGAACATCACCTACAGACCATCCCTCCAATGCATCAAATCTTAACTCCACAAATGTCACATAAGGATCAGGGATATAAAATTTCAGTAACATCAGCCATGTGTCTCCTCCTCCCTGTCTCATGCAAGGAGATCGATGACCAGTGTATGTGCACAAGAGGGCCCCACTTCACCACAGCAATAACTCCCCTCTCCCGCAGCAGAACCTCCCTCTCTCTTATCTGCCTCCCCCTTGCCTTCTCTCTCCGACAGTGCAACTCCCCCTCTCTTCTCTCTCTCTCAAAGCGATGCAGCACCCCTCTCTCTTCTCTCTCTCCATGTGGTGCAGCACCCCCCCCCTCTCTCTCATGACAGTGCAATCGTCAGCCTCTATTCCTCCACATACTCTTGTCAATAGTAATGTAAATCCTTGTTAATAGCAGTTTATCAAATTGTGTTATTGTTAATTTTTTGTTCTTAATCTTTTCTATAAATTTATATTGGCAAGCGCATAGCGCCTCCTGCATTTTGAAACCTTGGCACCTTTTAGCTCCTAGCATTTTGATATCCAAATTGGATGGTATTTGCCAATCTAACAGTCTGGTCTAGTTGAGCCTTTATTCTTTTTTATTTAAGGTCAAACTCTCTCTCTCTCTCTCTCTCTCTCTCTCTCTCTCTCTCTCTCTCTCTCTGTGCCCACCAGCCAGTACCGGCCCGAGTACCTCTCATCCTCCACCCGTTCAAGGAACTGAATACCCAGCATACTATGTGTCAGTCTGCCGATATGCAAGATTATAAACCATGGTCCAAATCCCTTTAAAACAAACATATTACAAGCATAATAGAAAGAATGAAACAAGCACTAAAACTAATTAGAACTAGTTGGTGGTTACTTTTTCTCTTGGATGATCTTAGTGATACTACTATCGATGTCAGGGTGACCAAAAAGATCATAAGCAGATTTTGCCACTTCCCGAAATTCCTCAGAGGTCACCTCACCATTTATCAACTCAATAACAGAACCAACATATTGTCTGTATGTTTGGCGCAATGCATCTGAAGCTGCACACAGAAAGAAAAGACGTTTGATAGAAGAAGAAAAAAAAGAAAAAGTGTCGATAATTCAATTCACAAGCAAGACAAATATATAACTAAAATCATCTAAGACATCCACTCAACTAGATCATCAAAATTTCACTGTTTCATCTTTATACATTTTCTGAACGTAAAAATGACACTGACCCAAGATCTTATGAATCATAAATCAGAGTTTATTGAAGCTAAAATACTGTTTCCTTGTTGACTGGAACAGAATGAAATGAATAGCCATTTTGAATTATCTTTCATGCCAAATGTTGCAGAAGGAAAGTTAAAGCAATAGGAAAATGCCATCACAATAATCATGCAAGTTGTCTTGTAAAAGAAACAAAATGGCTAAGAGCATGGTAGAAATTCCTAAATAGACAAAAACCTGCATATGAACACAGTACATGTCAACTGATTGACTTCCTTTCTCCATTTTTCTTTTGCCCAAACAAAGGCCTAGATATTATGTTTTTTAAAAGTAGATTAACTGTCGTCATTATTTACTTCTTTAAAATACAAAAGAACTATTTTGCAATTCAGTTCACAATAATGTATGAAACTATCACTAGAAGTTCTAAAATACATGAATTTCCAATTCAGCTGCCCTTTAAAAAATAATCAAGGATAACTCAAAAAAGGATAAGTATATAAATCAAGATTGCAGTAACAGCAGTAAAAAGTTAGAAAAAATTTTTTGTACCACATATTGCTCCGCAATGTAAGCTAAACAATCTAAGCTGAATTAACACTTAAATGCAAGTCATGGTATCAGAATGTTAGATTAGATGTTCTATCTATTAAGCTATTAGACATGGAAGACCACAAAAAGAGAAGAGATACCTTATTAGAATGTTCTCACGGCTAACTTCTACTGTGTCTGATATTCTCTCGACTGGGGTTTAGACATTTTATTTGGGAGTTAATCACGTAACTCCCAAATATAAGAAACCAACTAAGTGGCTGACTCCTACAAAATAACCATGAACCACTTTGGTCAGTGTTAGAACCATATCTGGATTCAATGTTGACTCCGTTTTCAAATTCTAACATGTTGCACGACATTCTAGTTCCTTACATCTTATTAATGCACATTCATTCTACGAAAATCACTTCCAACATGTTTTATCTTTTTTTCTTGTTAATCCTTACACAACAGGGGGAAGTTCTGTTGTCATCCTAAAACAAAATAGTAAAAAGAAGTAAAAGAGCGTAACACCAAAATAATAATTTTTCCCCCTAGACTTTGGCATATCTTAGTAAATCTGGAACTGAGGGTGAGTTTTTGGGATTAGCTCACCCTGCAAGGTCTCAACCCTCTGGCCCAGTCATTGTAGCATATGTGCCATCCAATGTATACTGGGCAAATATAGCTTAACATGATCCTGAAACTCCTTCATCTTATCACCAACAATGTGTTCAGGGTTCAAAACTCAAGAAAGAAAGTAGACAGAAGAGTTCACTCAATGCAGGTCTTTGACACCTTATGGCATGAACACAGCCATGCACCACCTATGTCCAGGTTTCCAAAGCTAGCCTTCTCTTCCGTCAAGATTCATGGCATGTCAATCACTAATGAGGTGCTTCACTATGTATCAAATTAAAACACACGCTCCACTGCTTGTGTGAGCCACCATCATTTCCTTTAGGCATCACTCTTGCAGAAAATACTCATTAATTGTCCCTACCACCTTAAAAGAACCAAGATTCCTGCAAGTTCCTTCTAAAGTACTCCAACGATCCCACAAAATATTTATTTCTAAATAAGTCAACTGTGATACCTGTTTTAGTTAGTCAATACGAACGGAGAATTAAAGTGGTTTATATGGCTAGATAGGTCTACTGCCATTAACTTGGACTAAAACATTTAGGATCAGTAGTTCAAGCATTAAGTTAGTATCCATCAGACCGGTTCATGACAAGTGGTATCAAAGTGAACCTAATACTGGAACATGGAGGGGCCATATCTATGGATGGGGCAAGAGCCAAACCACCGCATGGAGTCACCACTAAGTTGAGCCTCATATGTGTCATCATAGGGTTTGAACAAGGGTTGTGTTTGGGCCTTGACAAGGACATCAAACTTTATTGCACCCTGATTATCCTATATCAAATGTGGGAGGACAATTTGGTGAGAAAGCCATTCACACTCTACAAACTTGTACTCGATACCATAATTTTAGCAAGCCTGATTCGTATTTACCTACTCCTGCTTAGAAATTCTCATATCATCTACGTTGAGAGTTAACATTTGGAACCAATTCACCTTAGAAGATAGCTTTTATCAGGTAGGGCGATTGACGAAAACAACAATCAACTGCTGAATGATAACATTCTTTTACCTTCATCCCAGCGAGGAATCAGCTTTCTTGCAAGTTCCGGCTCATCGTTAGTCCTAACAAAAATTGGAAAAAGAAAATGCACATGACTCAGCGTCAGAACCAACCCCAATTCAAACCAATCAGATACGGACACTAAGGAACTCAGCATTAAAAGAGTTTGAAAGAAGGCGAGAGAAAATTTTAATCCACCTTCTCGATTTTAGGCTCTCTAGGATCCTCTTACGGCGGAGGTACGCCTCGTCGACGTCGTAGGGACCTCTGAAAGAGCTCGTCAACCGCGGCAAGGGGATCAGCATCGCTTATACTCACTTCTTCTAACCTATGTCGATTGCCCCTCGAATCGAAACTTTCGGTTCTCTTCTTCGATGGGAATAGAAACCCTACGATTACTGGAAGCGAGACGAGAGATGGGTTTTAAGGAAGCGTAGAGATCGCCAGAGAGACGGGAGCTCTTTGGGAGGAACGGTTGGGCCGACGAAGTGCGAAACAAAATCAACGGATGGTACCAGGTGAGAGAGGCGATTAATAAACAGCTCCCGAAGCGGACCTGAAATGTCGAAACCCGAACCTAATGGAAACGGGTCGATACTTGCACAACAAGGATCCAAATTCAACGTTATCGGCGTTGTGGGGCGGATCGAAACGAGTGGGTCGGTTTCTCGTTTTTTTTCCTCCAATTGGACTCTTGTCAATTTGGACTTGATCTGACCCGACATAACCAAACGCCTGTTCGAATCGATTTGTTATTCATGTTCCATGTGTCATCATTTTTTTTATTTTTTTACAAAAAATAAAAAATCAAAGTAGAAATTTGATTATGGAAACTTATATGTGTCTTTATTCTACGGTAAATGGAAATTTATTGATGGATAAATGGTCTCGGTAAAAATAATAATAATAATAATAATAATAATAATAATAAAATACATTAATAATCAAAATGAGAACGTGGCGTAATGTAGTTAAACTGGAGTTTCTTTGTGTATTTATTGATTTTATTGTCAACATCAAATTAAAAATAGGTGACAATGAAATGTAAAATAACAAAATAGATTTTATATGTAGTATTAATTATGTATAAATAGATCAAGTATATCATCAATAAATCGAGTGTTTAAGGTATAAAATATAATTGGATGATGTTTTGAATCTACATATGTACTATCAGTTTTGACTAAAAAAATATTTTTATTTATTAAGTAAGGTCATGATTAATTTTAATTAAAAAATATTTTTGGTGATCGTGTCCGAAATTCGTTACAACCCATTTAAATTTTAAGTTTATGCCCATGTAATTTTTTATTATTCCAATTAAAGCATATTTCCATTTCATGTGAATTTTAAAAGTATTGGCTAAGGACCATATTTCTTATGTAATTTATTTCTTATGCTGATAAAGAAGTAAACATTTTTCCAAATAAATATGTATATCTATAAATAATTAATAGTCATAAATAAATAATTATAATTTATTAAAATTAGATAGAAAAATAATTACACCAAGAATTACAACAAGAGCATTAACCAAAATATTAACTATAAAATTATTAAGAATATCATTCATTACCCAATGACGTGACGTGTATAAATATTTTTCAAAGTCATAATTTTAGTGATATATTTTTAATTAAAATAATCATAACTTTAGATTACTGGAGCATAATTTCCCATAAACTAAAATTTGATAATTAATATACGTTCATTGGTGCAAAACAATTAGATGACTCATGTCTGGTTGGCATCACAGCAGACAATCTCTTATTCAACCATTTATAATTTTGGACATTAGGTGGTGAAGATGTCTTACTTTAATTTCTTCACGAAATCTAATATAGTTTTTGATAGGTTCCTTTACACCATGGCATAGGATGTCAGCACGGCTTGGTTCGGTCTTGGGTGCGCAAGATCGTCCACGTCAGTGCTTGAGCGATGGAGATCGTCGTCTAGTTCGATCGGGATCGATCAATAGCTTCGAAGGCCGGGAACTCCCTTTGGTTGATTGCCTGGTTTTCTAGCGCCACTCACTGCACAGAAGTCGAGGTTGGGAAGGGGGCTCCGGACTTCGACCCCTCTGAAGATCTAGTTAGGACTAAGTGAAAAAGTCAATCTCCCTTCTTTGCGACCTCGCAACGGGCTTTTATTCTCTCACGGAGGGGGGGTCAGTTGTACGTGTTGTGATGGCTGGGCAATGGTGTTATACCTGGTGACGTCCCAACTTTTACGGGCCCGCATCGTTCTCGGTCGGTGTCGTCCCGACTTTTACGGGATGGCACTGTACTTGAGTGGCGCCACCCGGATGGTGAGGTATTTGGTCGGCACCATCTCGACTTCCGCGGGATGGCATTGTACTTGGGTAGCATCGTCCCGCGAAGTCGAGCGACGCGGTACCTGGTCAGTGACGTTCTCGACTTCCGCAAGATGGCGCTGCACTTGTGTAGCGTCGTCCCGTAAAGTTGAGCGACACGGTACTTGGTCGGCATCATCCCGACTCCCATGGGACGGGATCGTACTTTGGTAGCAGAGTTTGTTATGCATGTTGTCATGGTAGTGCATAGTGGTTCGAGGGTAAGCGATCAAAATATATCCTATCAGTTTTATATTAATTAATAATATATATATATATATATATATATATTATATCATTAAAATGTTTGCCATTATGGAATAGCACACTACATCAAAGGTCTCTTTGCTGTGGTAGTCTTAAGGCATTTTGAAGAGAACAATACAAGAAGTCTGATAACTTTTGTGGAGGATCACAGAATTGACCAAGCCACAGGGCGGAATGGGGTCCAATTCGTGCAACTCTGTTCGTAGCACTAAGACTTGGCTGCCACTGCTGTCGTTCCCAGTCGTGGGCCCTACTTGTCTCCTCCGATAGGACAGTGGTGATGGCGAATTTTTCTTGTAGAAATGTGCCACGTTTCTTTCCAGTACTCACCAAAATCCTGCCATTTCATGTACCGCGAGATTCTTTGGGCAAGACCGTCTACCTTCTTTGGTGAAAGCAACTCTTCTTCTTCGAGCGTAGTCCGGGATAATGATACTTAAACAAATAATAATATCATTGATCGGGTGATTTTGAAGGAGGAAAATTCTTAAATGATAATTTATTTGAGTTAAAAAGCAGTATATAAGAAAATATAAAATATAATATGATATTAGATCAGACTTGTTTATCCCATCCACACCTCCATGAGCATCGAAGTGTTTCATTAAAACAGAATGTCCTCTTCCACGGTGGAAGAATTAATATCGAGAGACAAAAATAAAAGCGATTTTCTCTATAAAAAAAATCATTTTTTTATATTTTCTTTCCTTAGTTTTTTATATTTATCATTTAATTTTTTTAAAATATCTTTCGTCTTTTTCCTTTCGTCGTGATAGTGGCATTATCGAATAGCAAGATAAATATAATCACAATAAGACTGAAACAATAAATATAAAATGATCAAAATGAAAAAGATAAGGTCAAAATAGTGAGATTAAAAACGATGAAACCTTATGGAGAGGGAAGGAGGTAATCATCACGGAGCAAAAATAATAAGGGACATTTAAGGTATTAAAGATATTGGAGACAACAAATGAAGAAAAAATAAAAACTTTGGCAACCTTCTTGAAAAAGTTTAAAAATTATATTTTTTAAAAATCCAAAAATATATAATAAAAATTTTCATCAAAAGGTTCATTTTATAACATTGAGATCCTAATTAGTTTCATCATGTGTTATCTTTTCATTAGATATTTTTTCACATGTATACTCTAAAATATTTCTAATATTTTTTAATTTTGTTGTGCAACTTAACGTCATGGTCGAGGAGTCAGTACGACTTGATTCGATTCCAAAGATGCAGGGTCATCCACATGAGAGTCTGAGAGGGTGGCGGAAGAACTATTTCGGATCCAAAGAGCGCCTCATAGTCGGACCCAAGGGGGGACTCTAACCCTCGCTTTCATCGCTTCATGTGAAAAAAGAGTCAACATCAATAAAGGGATTCCCGACTCAACACATTCGAAGCTTAAGTCAACTCAAGATAATTTATAAGTATTTTTAGTATGCTCTCACCTGCCTTTGTCAATGGGTAGGGAATTGGTTTTTATATTTGTTTGTCGGTGAATTGATCGTACGAGATTTGTTAATGACCGTAGACACTCCGAGAGGTCGACCTGTATGGTTTCGCATCAAGCAACGCTGCCTAATTCAATTCGAGCACAAGTAGGATTCTCGCTACTTTTAATCCTGAGGTGCTTCGTCGACATGTGTACGTCCTGTCGACCATAAGATGGCTAAGATGGCGATCGATCGTTGCTACGTGAGTTTTACCAAAAATATGTCATATCAAACTTCATTTAAAGGATTGAAGTAATAGAAGTAACAAGCAAAATTCTCCCAAAAAAAATAAAATAAAATAAAATAAAAATGCGGAATCTACAGAGTCGAAAGCATATAAGCATCACCCAAATAATTGCACGACGTAAAAAAGAGAAAGCTCATCATTCACATTTGGACCAGCACCAAATTCCAAATGCCGATGCCCAACCCGTACCACCAAGCTTTTTGTGGCAACACGTCATTGGAGAAAAGGACATTGCCCGTGGGCACCATGCCACATGGTTTGCAGAAGATCCAGTTCACCTTCCCCACAGAACAAAGCATGAGCGAGCGCATCATAGGATCGTATGAGGAAAGAATCTCGAGTTCGGATCCTGTCCAAGCGTACCATTACGCCGGAATACCGCGGTCGCAGCATCTAGGCCGTTCGTTGATACACCGTCGGATCCGACGGTCTGTGATCCGTACAACAATAATGGGGAGGATCGCTTAGCCCAAGAAATAAACGCAGCAGGAAAAGACACCGGCTGTCTCGCCTTCCTGACACGCACATTGCAGCTCCATCAGTCTGTACCTTCGTTGTACCTTCTTTTTGATTGGTAACGAATATGCCCCAAAACGAGGGACCCGGAGTGATTCTTTGTGACTCTTCGCCTGCCACCTCGTCACGTAAGATTTGCTAGTAAGTTTTATTCGTGGAAATAGTACCTCCGCTGCAAAATAATTGCCCTGAGAAGTCTCTCTCTCTCTCTAACGCTTCTTCTGCTCATTGCTTCTCCTCCCACCCCAGTCTACAAACAAGTCTCCAAACATGGCTGTTTCCATATTCCTGCTGTTAATTCTGGCCATGTCTGGTGTTTCAGGTAAGCTCCATGCCAGCTTCTTCTTCCTTCCTTTACATGATTTATGAGAAGTACAAGGTAAGAGTTTGCATCTCCAATGGCCATGACTTGCTGCTGGTTCTCCTAACTCGTTGCTTTGGTTCACATCTGTACTACATGCGCACCTTCTATTTTTCTGATATCTTAGATTTCATTATATTGACGTTTGAATGCAAAGAGACTGATGTTTTGCTAATGACCGAAAACTACAGGGAATGAACGCTTGGTTTTCTTCTGTTTGCTGTGTTAATGTTTTAAATCTTTTCTGCTCATTATACCATCCAAAAGTATAGAAGAATGATCTGATGTTTTCTTTTCTTCTCTTTTCGTTTCCTGGTCCATCTTTTTGTCGGAAGATGCCGCTTGGTGTGTCTGTAGATCTGATATGAGCACCACAGCTCTGCAAAAGACACTGGACTACGCGTGTGGAGCTGGGGCTGACTGCACTCCGATTCTACAAAATGGGGCGTGCTACAACCCCAACACAGTGCTTGCCCATTGTTCCTATGCTGCCAATAGCTACTACCAGGGGAAGGGGCAGACACAAGACGCCTGTAACTTTGCTGGCACTGCGATGCTCACCTCAACTGACCCAGGTAATCACTCCTCTCCAAATGCTTCTTATGTTCTGGGTCATGGACAGGTCAGTAGGAGAATCAGCTGATGTTTTCTTTGGTCTTTTACAGGAGGAAATGGTTGCACCTATCCTGCAAGTACCAGGTAACATTTTGTTTATGTTATGATACTACATTCTGGGATCAAGAATAAAAAACTGTATATTCTTTGAAAAAGGCATGGCCTTGGATGATCCATCTTTTCTTGTGATATCTTGAGCAAGCCAGAGTAGTTCAACTTTTCTTTTCTTTTGAGTATAAGAAGGCCTCAACTTTTAAAGCAAGGTTTATTTACTTCATGGCCTAAAAGTGAGAGAGCAGTGTTTTATGTTCTGTGGCCTCTTTGATTCCAAACAAGGTATATTTACTTCATCCATCCAAATGTTGACAGGACAACTTTGTTACCTTTTCTATATTACTCTTCTCACCTTGATCTGCCAAGTGGCCTTGTCTTCCATCTTCTTGGGTTTATTCATTCTGCAGAACTACATGGCATTTCACTTTCTTTTTCCTGGAATTTTTTACTGTTATGAGGATTATGATGCGCTTGTAAAAGTGCATGGATATGTAAGACTGTTGATTTTGCATCTAAAGCCTGATCTTTATCACTGTGTCTCTGCACCAGTGCTGCAGCGTCTTCAACAAGCACAAGCACCACTCCAAGCTCGACCACCACCACTGGAACCACAGGGACTGGAGGAGTCCTGGGAGGACTAGGCCCCACAGGAACAAATAGCTTTGATGGCAGTGATGGGTGCTTGATTCCAATCCAATGGATTGCAGCTCTCTTCCTCACTATTCTCCTCTCCTCCTTGGTGTTGTTGAAGATTTGACTTGAAGTATTTTCTACTGGGAATCAGTGCTTTTTACTGTGGTGAGTGTTCTGATGAGTGGATGAGAGACTGCAAGCAGCATGTGACTTGGTGGTGTATTCATGCAGAGAGGCATTACCCCACTAGAGACTGTTTGTCTAATGGCAACATAGGAAGTCTTTGGTTCCTTTTGGGTAGTAGGTTTAATGATGCCTTCTTCTTCATGAACCATTGCTTTCTTTCTTCTACTTGTTAGATTTAGGGAGGCAGTGCTTTATTGATTGAAAGAGGCTATGAGTGATCTCCCCGTTTAGTTTAGTGTGCTGTTAGTGTTGATGTTAATGGACATGTTTAGCTGCCATTCCTTTCCTGTGTTGATATATATCGTCGAGATCGACTCATATTAACATTGTAATAGAGGGACTCATCCAGTAAGAGAAGAGTAATGCAACAAAGAGTAATATTATAGGAACAAAGTGATACTTATGAACAATCTTTACCACCAGCTGATTGATACACCCGATGTTATAGAACGTTTGGATATTTTGTCACAGAGACAACTTTGAAGAGTAATATTATAGGAAAATGTCAGTTAGTGACTGACATTTGATTCAGCTTGACATGATTCAGACTTGTGTGCATAGTTTTATCTAAGATATATTCAAGGTGAAAATGACGAGCTCCTGAGAAGATCATTTGATATGCCACTTGTATGAAGTTCAAGGTTGAGAGAAGTTTCTCGAGCTGATCTCTTGATGTCCAAATTAATAACTCGAGGTAGATGAGTTCAGTCAACGATGGTCAAAAAGTCATCTATTGATTAAGTTACAAGTGAGCTTTTATATTTGGTAGTGAAGGAACAATATAGTCTGTGGAATATTTTTTGAGAGATAGCTTTTAATCGTCTTTAATAATTGTCTCATTCTAACTTGGATGTCACATGGAGGACATATATTTGATGATGGTTAGTCAATAATATTCTTCCTATCATTTATCCCTAGCGAAGGTGTGCTTTAGGGGCTCTTTGGCGAGGGTCTTGAAACATGACATGTGGCCTCTTTGACACATCAGTCTTATACTCTTTAATCACTTCATTGAGGGGGAGCAGCCCACCAATGTATCTTAGGCACACTCAAAAATAGGTTGGGAACTCATCCTCCCCGCCTTGAGCAGTGAGACAATTGGCGCTTGACCCACCTGCCGAGGGTGGAAAGAGAGTCGATACCTAACCCCTCCATCTTGATCGACAAAGGAGATTGGTGCCCGACTCACCCATTTCAAGCATAAAGGGGGATTAGCATCTTACTTCTTTATTATGGTCAATGCCGACCTCTCAGCCTTGAGTAAGGGGGGAGGTCAACGGTTGACTTACCCACCTTGAGCGGAGAGGTGGTCAATCCCTGACCCCTCAACTGTGGTCAGCACTAACCTCTCCTTAAGCAAAGGGGGAGGTCAGTGCCCGACCTACCCACCTTAGGTGAAAAGGGGGTTGCACCCGACCCACTTATCTTAGTTGGCAAACGAGGTCATCGCCTAAGCTACCCACCTTGGGCAAAAAGGGGAATTGATGCCTAACCACTCTACTACGATTGATGTTGACCTCTCAACCTTGAGCAAAGGGGAAGGTCAATGCTTAACCTACCTGCCTCGGGCAAAGAGGGGGTCAATGCCTAATCCCTCCAACATGGTTAGTATCGACCTCTCAATCTTGAGCAAAGGGGAAGGTCGGTGCTTGACCAACATACCTTGAGTGTTGAGGGGGTCGACGACTAACCCACCCATTTCAGTTGGCGGAGGAGGTCGACACTTAACCAACCTACCTCGGGTGAAAAGGGAGGGGTCGATCAAGGAGGTCAGCGCTTGACCACTCCATTATGCCGACCATAGAGGAGGGGTCGGGCGCCAACCCCCCTTTCCACCCAAGGTGGGTGGGTCAAGTACTGACCTCTCAACCTCGAGCAAAGGGGAAGGTCAACTTTAGACCTACATGCCTCAGGTGAAGAGGGGGTCAACACCCAACCCCTCCATCGTGGTCAGTGTCAACCTCTTAACATTGAGCAAAGGGGGAGGTTGATACTCGACCTACTCACCTTGGGCAAAGAGTGGGTTAGTACCCAACCCACTCATCTAAGTTGGTAAAGAGGTCAATGCCTGACCCACCCACCTTGGGTGAAAAGGAGGGTTAGTATCTGATCCCTTCTCTATAGTCGGCACCTAACCATTCCACCATGGTCGGTGTCGACTTCTTAGCCTTGAGTAAAGTAGAAAGTCAATACCTAGCCTACCCACCTCATGCAAAGAGGGGGTTAACATCGACCTCTCAACTTTGAGCATAGGGGGAGATCAACAGCTAACCACCCATCTAAGTAAGCAGAGGAGGTTGGTGTCCGACCCACCCGTCTCGTGTGCTCGACCCCTTTACTTCGGGCTAGCATTAAGAGAGTTTAGTTTTTCTAACCTCCATGTCTTGGGCAAGCCTCACTTTAGGAGGGTTGGGCTTTCTCGACTTGGTTCGACTTTTGCCTTTTAGGGCCCTTTTCAAGTGAGATAGATTTTTTCAATTCATGCACCTCGAGCATGTTTTATCTTGTGCCTTCTATTTTGATAGGTTTTCTTATACGTATGTTGGGTTTTGCTAATTCATAAGTCTCAAGCATATTTTGCCTTATACCTCTCACCATGATGAATTTCTTCTTATGTGGGTCGAGTTTTACTATCACGCGTCTTTGGTATATTTTGTCTTGTACCTCTTATCATAACAGGTTTTTTCTTATGCGGGTTAGGTTTTCCTGACTCATACGTCCCGGACATATTTTACATTATACCTTCTATCATAGTAAGTTTCTTCCTATGTGGGTCGAACTTTTCTGACTCATACATCTTGAACACATTTAGTCTTATACCTCCGTAATAAAGAGTTTTTTCTAACGCAGGTTCTGTTTTACCAATTCATATATCTCTAGCATATTTAATCTTGTATCATCTTATATAGTAAATTTCTTCGTGAGTTAGGTTTTATCAACTCACATGTCTACTCGAATGTCTCAAAAATTATGATTTTTGTTTACTCATATCTATTTTGTGTCAGTTTAATGTTTCTCAAACATAATCAAAGTGTCGACATTTTCTCTCCTCCACTAAAGCATTCTGCATAAAATTATAATTATAAAGTGCATTTAGTAATTTAGAAAGTTTCATATTGTGAACCACCAAACAATGAGAACTAACACAAATAACGACATTAGCAACACAACATTATCGAAGAAAGTCATCATTTAGAAAGTGTTTGGATAATCTAACACCACCTCATGTCCTATCAAATATCTAATCGATCAGATACATTGATCAAATGATGTATCGATAGTAGCATTGACTTGATCCCGCATTCGTTATCCACCCATCCCAATATGTCACTTCACTGACACAAAGGATACATGTGGCGATAGTGACATTTAATAATTCATTAAATTCTTCAACTATCAAATAATTAGATTAACTCCCCATTTAACACAAATTATCATTCAAACTCACTATAAAAAATAACAAGTGCATTTATATGTAACAAGTACTTCAATCCACTATTGGATTCGAGCTATTATTGGATTTGGGCTATTACTCTGCCATAACAAGGAGTATTATATATAAAAATACCTTTTTTTATAAAATAGATAAAAACAATATTCCTTAGGAGGAGCTTCATAGAAATCCATATAAAGATTTATAAAACACTATATATATATAATTATGAATCTGTTCCTAATAATATTATAAATGAAAAAAATTATTTGAATAACTTGTATAAAAATAAGCAAGATGTTTTCTTCCAAATATGATTATAAAGAAACAAAATAATTGCAGAAAGTTTTTTGAACCAAAAGTGGGATCTGTAAAGCTAAAGTTTTCTTTTGTTTTAAATACACTTCAAAATAGAAACCTAAAAAAATAATAGTCATAAAGTTTTAGGCTCAAAGTATACAATAAAAATTATGTTTTCTTACAAATATCATTATAAAGAAACAAAATAATTGCAGAAAGTTTTAGGCTTAAAATATACAATAAAAATTAAATTTAATATATTAATGAAATATAAAGTTATTAAATTAAGTATGTTAATAAATATAAAATCATTAAATAAAATATAAAAAAATAATACTTCGCTAGAAGGAGGGCTTGAACCTCCGACCTTGTGGTTAACAGCCACACGCTCTAGCCAACTGAGCTATTCCAGCTTAGTTGATGTGATATGTATTTTAGCCTTATTTAAATAATTTTAATTGTCGAACTGTACATAAAAGGCGCACTTTTGAGGTGGCTTTCGTTCGCGCACCTAGAAATCGATAGATCTCAGCGGATCGAAGAAAAGATGCCATCGAGTAGGTGAAGTTTTTGGTGGTGATGTGACCTTGCCTATCCATTTATTTTCATGGCATTTTTTGTTCTGTTTATATCGTTGGTGCATGCGTTGATTTCTAGATCTTCTCTTGTGCCCGAAAAGTGTTTGATCCAAAGATCCTATTGATCTGGTTGGGTTATCCCGTAATCCTTCTTCATTCCTCAGCATCTTGATGAACTTTCGCCGAGAACTCTGATTGTTTGTTGTCCACAGGTAATTCGATGGCTGGGTTGGTCAGCGCGCGTGCCAATCCGATTTACTCATCCCACAATCTCCGCCGGTCTCGTCTTCCCCGACCTATGGCTTCGCGAGCGCTAGAAATGTCCTATAAGCATCCTGCAATTGCTTTGAGACCTTCAAAATCTCTTTCCCTTGTGGCCGCCTCGTTGCAGCCTGCGAAGACCATTTCTGCTGGCCAATTTAGTAACACTGTACCTACTGAAGGTCGTACTTACTACTGAGAACCTTTTAGATGTTTGGGGATGTGCCAGTTTTTGCAATGCTCTTTTACCTGACAAACATTTTTTCAAACACCTTTCAGAGGTGCTGAATATTTGGCGCAGTGCTAGTGCTGTTTGTTTTGATGTGGATAGCACCGTTTGTCTGGATGAGGGTATCGATGAACTTGCTGATTTTTGCGGTGCTGGCAAAGCTGTTGCGGAATGGACAACAAAGTAATTTCCTAGTGTGTTCTTCTCTTCTTTCTCTATTTGTATCTATGATGTGTTCAAGTGCACCAGGATGGAAGTTGCTTTATTTCCCTCGTACTCCTGATACTTCAGGGCAATGAGTGGATCAATACCTTTTGAGGAAGCTCTAGCTGCTAGACTTTCTCTGTTTAACCCTTCGCTCTCACAAGTCCAAGATTTTCTGGATAAGACGCCTCCTAGGTAATGCTGGTTCTTTCCTTTTCCATTTTGTTTTTTGTTTTCTTTTTGGTGTCACTGATGTTCAACGAAAATTGTCAATGGAGAGCAACATCAAGCTAATAGACCTGTTGTTCTATCTTTTTATGGTTTCTGTTTGTAGCCTTTTTATTTGCACAAAGTTTAGTTGATGGATAAATTATACGTGCTCATTTGTGTAGTCATCACATGCTCAGATTATTCTTTAGGTTTTCAGATTCTTGGATACTTGTGTAAGAGAATGTACAAGCTTATGCCATTTTCACGGGGCCATGGTATAAGCATTTCATTTCTAGAATTGTCCATCATATAGAGTAAGGAATGCCATATGGTGGCACAAGAAATGGCTCACGCTTTTTTTTACTTTTGGTGAACACAATTTTGTGCCATGCCAGAGAACAATGATTCTGGGTTGTGCAAACTGAGTAGAGTTTGTTGTCATGCATGCGTTGGTTCTTTTCTTTAACTTGGCAGAAGCTAAGTTTTCTTTTGCATAAGCTTGCTCCATTCCAACATCAAATTGATTTTTTAGAGCATTTTATATGCATTTTCATCTTGTGCTTCTTTAACTGTTGTTTTGATTGCATCCTGCTCTGTTGATTGGAAATGATGGAAATCAACAACAAGAAGCTGTAGTGTCCCAAGTACTTGGAGTTGGCTACATGTATCTTTTCTGCTACTGGAAGTTACAACATGCAAAAGTCACATTATGTTGATGGGTCTGCTTTATCTTAAGTCAACACACGTTTCATGTCACCTGCATTTATTAGCATTATTAGAAATAGTTTCCTAATCTTTTTCCAGTCATGTCACTGAATGTGTAGGATTTCTCCTGGCATTGCTGGGTTGATCAAGAAGCTGATGGTTAAAAACATTGATGTGTACCTTATATCTGGAGGCTTCCGTCAAATGATAAATGTAAGCTACTCAACTGTTTATCCATACAAGGGTTGTTCTGTGACAGTATGACTAATTTTGTCAGTTACTGTCACCACATTTTGGGAATAGTTACATTTGGAGATACACTTCAGTCAGGCGAGCAAGACGTTGGGTTAAATCTGATCCAAATTGATTATATGCCAGGTTTTGGGCTGAAGGCACCAGTTTATCGGTTCTATATTGGAGCATTTTTGTTTGCTATGTGAAAGGGTTGGATGTTGTCATGCAATGTCGATTTAGCTTTGTTTTCCTAACCTGGTCCAGAGTCAACTATAACCAAGTCTCTGACTCATCGTGGAATTTGACTGATGAGCTTCCAGACCTTTGCCTTGCACTAATTGAAATCTTTTAGCACAACTCTCATGTCTCTAAATGCAGACTTATTGATCACAGTGTTCTTTTTTGAAGTTCAGCACTAAGTGCACATTTTAATTTATAATCAGTACTCTTTGTTTTCTGCAAGTTTATTCATGGTCTCTTATATCTGTTGGCATACTTTTGCTATTTCTTGTAGTCCCTTATGATCTTGGTTTTACAGCGTCAGAATATGATGCTGTAGTTGTGGGTCTTACTAGAAAAATAATACTTTAAAAATGCTTCTTGAGAGTGAAGACTGGCTGATATGCTGAAGTCATAGTTGAACCACTTGGGAGTATGACAGCTTGTGTTATTTCAATTTTCCAGAGTCTCCCTTAGAAAAGAAGATAAATTATGTGTACAGTGATGATTTATTTTGCATATTGTTTGAATGCTTGATGATGTATAAATTAAATTGTGAAATTCAGAGTTTCCTTTATTTGTAAGGGCATATTACTGAATACTGCAACCACTTTTTGTGAAGCCTGTAGCATTGCAGCTTGGTATCCCTCTTGAAAACATCTTTGCAAATCAGTTACTTTTTGGGAGTTCCGGTGAGTTCATTGGGTTTGATGCCAAAGAGCCTACTTCTAGAAGTGGTGGAAAAGCAACAGCTGTACAACAGATAAGAAAGGTCCAGCAGTTATTTTTTAGCATGATATAACTTTATGTCAAATGTTGCTGAATCTGAGAAATTCTTTCTTGTATTGCATTTGCAGGTCCATAATTACAAGGCACTGGTTATGATTGGAGATGGTGCAACAGATCTTGAGGTAGCAGAGTCCCACATATTTACCCAAATATTTGGTCCTTATTTTTCTATACAGTGCCAATGTTTTTCAAAGTATAACTTGCTTTCCCAGATCTCGGCATTCATGAGTATATGACATTAAGACCTTGGAGCTAAGCAAACATTTTTAAAATGACATTGGTGCTGTCGAATTTAAGACACCAACAATGATGCCATACAAAGATTCAAGTCCCATCAATTAACTTGAGATCATGATAGTTTAAATACTTGAATTTTGAACCACATGCAGAAATAAGACATGCTGAAACTGAACTATGAAAGTATGATTTAGGTGAAATGGGGGATGGTTTTGAGAGTTTGGTTGCTCAGCAGGAAAAGATGATTTCAGTGGACATCCTTACCCCAAGCGAATCAGTAATCTGGGAACTGGCATTGTGATTCTTTGATAATAATTTGTTATGCTTGCCAGTAAATTCAAATTGTTTCTGGGTCTTGCTAGGATTAAGAAGAATACATCTGCAAGACACTTAAATATAAAATGACACAAATATGATCTTGAGTATATGATTGTTTCAAGGTTAGAACTACATTTACTATGTGGAAGGCACTTAACCTCAAAGAACGAAATTAAGTTGATGGGTTATGAACTCAGTTATCTATATCCTATCTTTAGATTTTTTGCTTTTTTTGTGATCAAACATGTATATCTGAACAGTTTTGCTGTATGATGTGTGGAAGAGATCCACTATATTGTTTTTCTTTTATAGCAGTGATCTATAGCATCCCTGTTTTCGTAATATGTTTTAGATGAACATGGTACTGGACTTTGTGTTTTCCCAGTTTATGCACTTGCCTTATGTTTAATATGATTATATATGTTAAAAAGATGGCAAAATGTTCGGCATACACATATGATAATGATATTTTGATGAATTAAAGAAAGATCAACATCACCAAGCACGTGTGATTATCTTTTTTACGGACTAAAATTAGACAGGTCTGTAAGATGTGAAGAGTTTGCATGTCAATAAGACTACAAGCGGACTCATCTGCATAAGTAGAATGATTGCATCTTGATATGAAAAAATAATTATTTAGAGGATTTGGAAAGGTCTGAAATTGTTAGTCATTGTTTTCTCCATTTATATCTCAAACCAAATGTTTGATGCCCCTAAAAATTATTTTTCCCCTCGTAATCGTGTCGATTCTGCAGGCTCGGAAACCAGGTGGTGCAGACTTATTTATATGCTACGCCGGGGTTCAGTTGAGAGAAGCAGTTGCAGTAAAATCTGACTGGCTTATCTTTGATTTTGAAGAACTGATAACCTCCTTGTAGTATATGCTTTGCTGTGTCTCCACCACCTCATATTTTGAAGAACAATTTGTCTTTGAATTGCAAATAAACCTCTACTTTCCATGTTAACCAGTAATAGCTGATTTTTAGTATATGATACTGTAGTATATGACTAGGAGGACCCTTTTGGAGGATAGCATATGGTGGAAGTAGAGATGTCTTGTTTGGAACACAGGTTGTGAAAATGAATATAAAGTATATTTGCTAAAAGTTGTGATTTTAATCAATTTATCGAGATTGATTAAACTTTGTTAAACACATGTAAATACAAATCGGCATTAAGTTCATATACAACTATAATAACAACAAATTGTCCATTGCTGAGCTTTGTTCACGATAATATTTGAAAATTATATTTTATATTTGCAAATAATGTATAATATAAGCTGATACTAATAATGTTTTTGATTTAATCCGTTTGAAGTATGGAATTAATATCATATTATTAGACTAAGAATAACTTGGGTAAATATACTTGATACATGAATTTGATATTTAACTTTACAAATCATATATTATATATTCCGAATCAAATTTCACATATGTAATTAATAAAAGCTCTCATCACAAAAAATCCGACCGCACTTGTGCATGAATGATATAGTGACCGCATAAGCTTTGAGTGGAACCAATAAGACTTCAATATCTTGCTATCATTGTTGTTTTCCACAGAAATACAAATCTTCATCCAATGAGCTTTGATTGAAGCTCTCTCATCACAAAAATACAAATATGCTGCACGAATTGATATATTATATCTTCTAGCAGTATCTCATGAAACTATATTTTATACCTGAATACAGATGGTTTCTGAATATTTTCCACTGAACAGTGAAGAAAAGCTTATTTCGGATCTACTGAGCCAACATGCTGTGTCGTTGAGTCAGATACTGCACTAGCTTGCATCTCCAGCAAATGCTGCTGCTCCTCATCTCTGCTTTGAGCCTTGGTTGCAGTTTCTGCTTTCTTGGGCTTGGTAGTAGACTGCTGGTACATGACACCTCCAAACATGCATATTAGCAGACCTATCGTACCAATCAAGGTAGAATGCTTATCCCATACGACCAAATTAATCACAACAGTTAGGAGCTTGTTCACGATGCCAAGCACAGTGAAACCTGTCGCAGAGATTGCCCTTCTGCAAGAAAATCCAAAGAAGGAGATTGCCAAGCCAAACAAGCATGACAGAGCCACAGGCAAAACCACACTGAAAGAGTACCAGTTGGATTCGTCAGATATATCGTGCTTCATCTTCTTCAGTTCTCCCATTATCAGTAGCTCCAAGGGAAAGAGCATCAATGCCTCCAAATTGTTGTATAGCACCAGGCCCCATGTGTTGAGCCCTATGGTCATGACGACATGCTTGATGTACACAAAGTCGATGGACATGCTCACAAGATAAGCCACAGCCCAAGCGTAGGCAGTAACTGTGAACTGGTAGTCTGTGAGAACATAGAGAACACTGCCTCCGAAGATAGTTGCTAGAGAAATCCATGTCTTTGGGGAAGGCCATGGCTGGTTAAGGAACACAGTCTCTCCAACAGCTACAAAAATGGGGACAGCAGAACGGAACACGATAAAAGTGTCCACATTGGCATGTAGGAGGAGCTCGCTATTTGTAAAAAGGGACAGGTAAAAGATGATCGCAGCTGGCAAGAACCTCCACATGGTAACGAGTTCCAGACGGTCATGATCCACAAGTTTTAACCACCCACAAAGAAGAACACCGAATGCACTAGTAAAGTATTGTAGTGCTGTTAATGCACCAGGGTATGGAAACTTCATGACTGCCCACTTGTTGATTATGGACAGTAGTGATGCAGATATGCAATAACCAGCAGCTACACCATATACTGATGCTTGCTGCCGGAGGCTTATTAGAGTGTCCTTCCAGGTCAAACCATTTGCAGACAGATCATTCCCGCTGCTAGGAGAATCGTCTTTTGTAGTCCCAGTACCATCAGACATCTGAAGTGAGGGAATCCAATATTCACGTGAGAAGAAAAATAATGTCAAATTAAACTGTTATAATTAAAATTACAGTAAAATGGCGAAAATATAAAAGCAAATGAAAGTTATATCAAATAAAGTTAAAGCTGTGCATCTAAGAAAGGTTTGGCAGTCAACCTGAACAAGTAAAGACTATTCCTATAATATCATTAGGCATGTATAGTAATTTATATATTTCAAGTTTAAACAGCCTTTCCTCTACCTTTTGGTCGGTGTGATCAAAGGGATTAAAAATGTCAGGCAGAGATGAACAGATATAACTGAAACACATCCAAGTAATAGAAACCTAATTTAAAACACTAGTAGCTAAAAGAAAATCACATCCGAGCAGATGGTTGCTGATGGCAGTGCATTAGTTAATTAGATACTTTATTTCCAAGCATCACCAGAACCAATTTTGGCTTGTTTTAAGTTTCTCTTTCTTTTTTGTATTTACGTAGATATGGGCCAGCAATATAGAATAAGACACTTACCATGAGAAGAAAAGTCAAACCTCTCTCTCTCTGAATCACAATGAGTATATGGGAATAAGCTTAACTGTGATCCCTCATGATACTTTCAAAACCACTGAAAAAGAAAATATCAGATGCTTCATAATATCAATTAAGAAAGCAGGTTAACAGTTGCCTAAAATTTTGCAGCTTTTATAACTGATAACAACATGCAACAATAACAAAAAAACCATAAGTCCCAACTATTTGGGGACGGCTACATGGATTTTTTATCACCATTGAGATATGTAAAAAGTCATATATTTAGTTAAATTCAGAGTACTTAAATATTTATTTATAGTTTCTATTAAAATCGTTTTAGGTCTTACTTTACCTCTTCTCGTACCACTGACTATTGCATCTGGAGGTCTCTTAAGCATATGCTCATACCATCTTAAACGATCTTCTCTTATCTTATATCTTCTATCGAAGCGATACCTAGTTCTTCACGAACTGATAACAATATAATCAATCATAATTGATTCATCTCGTTTGACTGATGAATCTATAGTAATCATGCATGTCCATCACTGCTATATACATGACACCTGAATTATTGGGCATGATAACAATAGCAGCAGTAATGTTGACAAAAGGAAAGGAGGAAGATTCATATGCAAATATGTTGCAGCAATCTGTATATGCAAAGGCACATTCCAATTTGGCCGAAGTTGGCTGTTTCACTGCAAACTTTACATAACACTTAAATAATAGAGGATGAGGCTGCACAGTTTTATGTGAGACAACCATGACACCATTTATGCAGCTGTTTTTCTTCTCGTTAGAAAAATGAGTAGATACAAGTGTTGAGGCATAGATCCTTTATGTAGACCTTGACATAGTAATTTCAACATCTCAAATCATACCTTCAAAAGACTTTTCCTTCTCTCTCCTAAGGTCTAGTTCCAAAGCAGTCAACCAACGTGAAGATGATACAACTGCAAACAAAAAAAAAAAACAGTAGTTATTTCTTACCAATGTACAACACCATGGATTAGACCTGAGACTGTCATTGTCACTATCAGCTAACCAGGATGAAAGAATTTGATTGTGAAGTAGAAAGGAAGAAGCCTTAAAACTGCAAAAGAAATTCTGAGATCAAATGTGAAGTTGCATCACGGTCCTCTTACTACACTCCCCTTTTTACACGCAAATTGCAAACACTCCAACCAAAATCTTTCAGAAATTCAAATTTGCATGACCATTAAAACATACTTCAAAGGACAAGTTTTGTTGTTCCACAAAATAGCTTTAAAATAGTAAACTAAACTTACAGCATCCCAAGATTTTCATACAGCAAAACGATTCTAGAAGTCCTACAGATTAGTTGGAAAGTTATCGTCAACGTACAAACCTCATTGTCAACGTACAAACCTTTTACTAAGAAAAGCAGAAAGCAAAATAAGAACAACATTTTGGAAAGTTATCTGATGTTATTAGTTTAGAAGGGCATTATTAGCTGCATGCCTAGAAGATGTGTGAACCACATCACAACAGCCTCGGACATAGTAACTATCATCAAAACAAGAGATTGTTGATGAGCAACATGTAACTTTTGATTTTTCTTTTCTGATGCCTGAGAACTCTTGTGACCATTTCCTGTTCCATTTCACATTGATTGTATATTAACGTTGCATAGACAATCATGAAAGAATAAAAGTATAAATTTCTTGCATAATTGACAAAAGAACTTTAAAGTAAGATGCCATCAGCCGCATAAGTCATAACTACTACAGCATATCTGCTAACAGAGGAAACTTTCACCACCCAAATCACCATCGAAAAACAAGAACAGGACGAACACAAAAAATCAAAGTAAAGAGGGGTTTGTCGGTAAAATAACTAGCATTTCGGAGATTTCCGCAAAGTGTGTCCTACCAACCGTCCTAGTGACATGGATCCAAATCCTGCAATCAAACCGATCGATAAACCGATGAAAAGGCAAATTCAACGACAAAATTCCAAGAAAATGGCATCTGTAAAGCACAAGATTTTTCGCATCCGATCGGAGGAAACATTCGTCCCCCAAGGAGAAAGCAATCAATTGAATGGGCCCAAGAGCATTCCGAGAAAATTTACCACCTCAAACAAACCCACCAACGAAAATCTGTCAAGAACTTGTACCAGGTTAACGAGAATCACAAGAAATCCGTATTTCCCGATAACTCCGAGAAGAGAATGCACGAGATCAGTAAGCGCATGAGCAGCCGGCGGAGAAAACCACAACGAGACAAATCGAAAAGACACGGTCACGAGACGCGTAGAGACAAAGAGAGTGGGATGACAGCCGATACCTCGTCGGAGCTCTCCGGCTCCGGAGCCGGCGGCGGGGGCCCGTAGTGTGCTCGTCGAAGGCCTCCTCTCCTCCCTCTTCACTCACTCATCCTAGCTCGAGGACGGAAGACGAGAGAGGGACGGGGATCTTTTCCTCCTCGTCTCTGGAGTCGGGAACCGAAGCCTAGCGATCCCCTCCGATCGCACGTTGGATCTGGAATCTTCAAATTTCCCCATCACGACCGTCGACCGCCGCGGGCCCCACTTCACTCCCTGAATCAGCATCTTAGTACACCGAGAATTTTAACTGACTTGAACTTAGGCTTTAATCATTGGCTGATATGATGGCTCCATATGTGGAGCCCAGAAGGGTAAAACGGGTCGAAGTATTCGTGCGATAAAGAAAAGAGAGAGAGGGTTAGGTCGATCGCCTCCAATTATAATATTGAATCCTTTGTCCGATTGCGATCAGACTTTCCACATGCCAAACGGGTAGTTGAACATGGAATCAGATCCGAGAAAGGACCCGTCAGCGGGTATCTGATGAGTTCGGATCCGCTCCGATTCCGGAGGATCCGGTTCTCCCGTCCCTCACATCTCAGCCGCTTGTCGATGTCACCCGGCCGCATCCATCGTTCATTCGGCTGTCATCACAAAGCACGGACGGTCGAGATCGAGACATGGGAGTCACGAAGCGAGAAACGGATCCGCAGATCCGACATGGCTCGCCAATGATTAGTAATGCCGAAGTGGGTCGCCAGCTGGTGCTGCAGTGAAGTGTAGTGCTGTGTCTGTTTATAATTTTTTTATCATCATAAAATTTTGAATTAGATTATTAACAATTTTAGAAACTGAAGTTGTTATAAAAATATTTAATTTATATTTGTTAATATAATTTTTTTATCGTATTATGTGAATGTCAACATGATTTCGTTGCAGCGTCGATTCTAGGTTAACGAGTATATGTAATTGGTGATCTGGTTTCGTACGATCATCAGTTACAATATCAGATTTATTTTAGTATGAACCGAATTTTCTCGACTCATGTATTTTGGATGTATTTGGCCTTACGGATCTGTCGTAGCATATTTATTATGGCGTAAGTCAGGTGTTCCTGACATGCGCATCTTATGTGCATTTAGCCTTGCGCCTTCCACATAGGGAATTCATCTTGGGGATGGGTCGGGTTTTCTTGACTCGCGTTTTGGACATATATGGTCTTGTGCCTCCATCGTTATGGATTTTATCTTGATGTGAGTCAGATTTTTTCAACTTACGTGTCTTAGGCACATTTAATTTTACACCTTCACCGTATGGATTTATCTTAGTGCAAGATAGATTTTCTTGACGCATATTTTAGATATGTTTAGCCTTGTGCTTCTGTCGTAATGGATTTATTTGAACATATTTGAAGAACCAATGAACATAGCATAATTTGTTGCATTAATGTTCTTGTCGAACCCAAAGATGGCGTACGTAGTGCATGAGTCTCTCGTTGATGTGTGGTCTAAGCAGTATTGATTTACATAGTTCGATCACTTAAGAGGATAATCTTACTATTATTCAATATTTGTCTCCGTGTAGAAAAATTAAGAGCCTCATCATATACAATGCATAAAGAAAAGTCCTGAAAGATTTGAAGCATAAAAATGATTGAAGAAAAGTGAATTGAGCACCTCAGACATGCCCAAAATTCAATTTTTGAGATGAAATAAAAAGGGAAAGCTGCGGAAAAAATCGTGTAATACAAGGTAGTAAGCTCTGTCTATAGGATTGCATGTACCATAGACTAGTTGAGATTGAATTAAAATCTAAATTAAAAATTAGAATTAGTATACTTAAATTGAACTGAATCGATTGTTTAAATAAATTAAATTACTGAATCAATGATATCAATAACTCGCGCAAATTGCAATCCGATCCGATCCCGGTAATTTATATTAATTCCTTAGACTCTGTTCTCAAACCGATGATTCTTATTAGTGAACATATGTGTCCTCACTGATGAGTCAGGACGATCTGATCCACGGTCAATGTCGGGAGTCTTCTGTCAATTGAGGTGGATGTCGAGGTCGACTGGGCCCTTGCGACAGGGTCTTGATCAACGTCTCTCGGTTTGAGTGCCAATTGATGGCTCGCCATGGGGACGTCGGTCAACGACTTCTGAGGTTGGGACACTCATGGGTCGTGAGTGGTCGCTTTCCTGCAAAAATGACCTTCGTTGGGTGATTCCGTCTTTGGCCCCTCCGACGAGCAAGTCAGTTGTGGGTTGAAATTGTTTATGCCTCCTCTGGGCCGGATGCCGGCCATAGGTCTTTATTCTACTGTACGAGGGTCGGTCGTACGTGGGTTGGCGTGGTAAACGTGCCGAACAGTACCTTGGTACGGATTCTGACTTTGCATGTCTTGGGGGCGGCGCCGTCCCGGGATTCCCGGGATGAGACGTGCCGAGCGGCGCCTTGGTATGGATTCTGACTCGACGTGTGACATCGACTGTGACGTGTTTTGGGCCCAAAATATGTCTTATCAATTCTAATTTCCTTTTTTTGAATTGGAATCGAACCGCACAAGACTAGTTTTGGATTTGGTTTTGGTTTTTTAACTTTTAAATTTTAGTTAAAAATAATTTAAAATAATAAAAAATATTTATTTATTTTTAAGTTTTGATGATAATGCAGAGAATGTATTTCAATATATGTAATTTGTCTAATAAAATAAAAAATAACACATAATTGATAAAATTATAAAATTATCATCCACTATAAATGTTAGAATGTCTCGATTGTTCTCTTGATAGATATATCGAACGAGTATTCATTATCTTTGTAGAAAATATTTTGTTTTCATTTTAATATCTTGATCTAATTATCAATAAATAAAAGAATATCTTGATCTAATAAGAATATTAGAGATATTTTAGATAAGTAAATAAAAGTAATTATTGGCATAGTTTAAAGGTGAGGGAGAGCGGAGGCGACGAGGAAAGATGTGATCTTCGAACGTGGTGAGCGGGTCTTCCTTGACGTCGACGCCGACGCCGAGCACTCCCCTGCTCAAGGACGAGCTCGACATCGTGATGCCGACGATCCGCAACCTGGACTTCCTGGAGATGCGACGCCCCTTCTTCCAGCCCTACCACCTCATCGTCGTCCAGGACGGCGACCCCAGCAAGACGATCGGGGTCCCCGACGGCTTCGACTACGAGCTCTACAACCGCACCCTCGGCCCCAAAGCCGCCTGCATCTCCTTCAACGACGACGACTACTTGGTGAGCGTCTTCCCTTTCTTCCATTCTCAGTATTCGTCTGTTGGTATCTCGGGGAGAGTGATGGCTCTTCTGGACTCGATTTTTACTCGTATTTTGATGTGATGCTGTTGACTCACTGTTCCTTTTCATGGATCTGCTTCATTTCTGTTCTTCTTTTTCAAAATTCGTGCTTTATTTAGAAAACTATTTTCCTATCTGCTTAACAAAGTGATTGATATGAGAAAGCTTAAAATTATCTGCAGCTTGTTGTTCTGGGAGAATCTCAAAACTCCTAAGCAAATCTTAGTCATACATGCAGGGCACTCATTCCTTAAGCATTAATGTTGTCCATGAATAACTTTAAGCAATTTCTCTTCTGTATTTCCTGATCTGCCTCATTCATTTCCTCTGGTAGATTTCAACATTCTTTTCCTTTCTATTTTCTGATCAATGTTCTTTCCCTCAACTATAATTTTCTTTTCTGCTATCAACAGAGCATGAAGCCACCATTTTTGTAACATATTTTTAAGCAAGTCTGATGTCCTCCTCGCACTAACATTCCGGTGTCCCTTCCTCGAAGCGCTCATTTCTGCAGTGCGGCACGTCGACCCTTTTCCACACATGCATGCATGGTTTGGGAAGTCGACAGTAACTCTTACGAAAAAGTGAGCCACTCCGACGCCCATGCTGTGATCTCCTTCATATGGTTAATTAAGATGGATAAAAATTGAGAGCACAGGGAAAAAGATTAAGCAAGAATCAATTTCCGATATAGCCTCCAGACTGCACCAGCCGTTGAAGACGACATCCAATTCCTCCGTGTTCATAGTTGTAAACCTAACAATGGTGTCGTTCACTCGTGATGTATGTTCCCTTTTAGAATTCATGGTGCAACATCGAGTACCACGGCGATGAAGGGTTTGGAGAGGGCGGCTAGAGCGTGGGTGCCTTCCTCGAGCAAATGCTGCTTTCGGAGTGCCGTGATGGCTCACTCGATCCCTTTCAAGCTCCCAGAGATCCAAGTAAACACGAATCAAAATTCAGAAAGCAAACAACTTCCACACATGTCTCCAAATCGAAGTCTTAAGAGCAAATCAAGGGGGGTTTGGAGGCATCGAATCGATCAAAATATCTTCTTTTTGAGTTCTTCGCCTTAATCGGCGATAAATGCGGAAGAGGAAGAGGAAAAATGTTATTTTTGATGACTATAGATTTTTAACCGAAAAAAAAGGGGAAAGTCGAAAGCAACGATTTATCGGCTGATGTCGGTGCGGTCGTGTTAGATCGAACTGACTCACCGAACAAAAACCAAACCCGTCGTGAGTCGAAAATTTTAATTTATATTTAAAATAATATTTATGAATAAAAGAAAATAATATGAGGGAGTATTTATCGGTGCATGCATATTATTTACCAAAATAATATTATGCATTTATATCCAAAATTAATTTACCGGGTCAGTAAATGAATGACATGTAACATGATAATTAAGTAGGTATACTTAACTGTAACTTTAACTGTAACTTTGACTTTGAAGGGGAGGGGGGATCAAGGACGGAAGACCAACTCGAACTTGCTGTAACATCATACCTGCGTCGCTTAGTACTTACTCCATTGCCACAAGTTCAAGATGACGAAAACTGGTTTGCTGTAAATAAATAGTTGGACTTCTTCCGATTTCTCATAGAACGTATCATTGCGAAGAAAATATTACGAGGGGAGAAAGTAAAAGTTGATAGAAACTTGTGAGTGATTGGGTTCGCTGGAGTGGAGATAAGTAGTTTGGGCTCGGTTAGAGCCATTATGCAACCCATTTCACCGGAGGAATTGTGATAGGTCAACGAGTCGAAGCGATGGGTCGGGTCCCCGGCCAACCGCTGCTACTGTTGCTGTTCGCTGGTGGTGGCATCCCTGTGCCTGTTCACAGACTCGAGGTAGCATGGTGCAAGAAATAAAATGTCCACAATGGGGTGCATTCTAGTACAGCCTGGTGTCCCTTCCTCAGAGAGCATGGAATCTAAACTTCCACTTGCTCTCATCTCTTCCTCCTCTACTAATATTACAATGCTAGTAAATAGAGGAGGAGGAAGAAGAAGAAGAAGAGGCAGTAGACATTGCCCGACTGTCATTTTTATTTCGATTTATCGATAGGTTGATGATTAAGTGGTGCAATCGTTTTTGCCCTTCTCCTTTATCCTCTGTGATGCTGCAGAAAGTAAATGCAAAGGGCATGAGGCCACATGGTTCAGATGTAGCTTTAGTGGAACAAACAACAACCAGTGCGTGCCCCTCCCTCGCATCAATCAATCAAACGAGGGGGACCAGTCGGGAGCTCGATCGAGCTATGTACATCGTGAAATAGGACGAACCCAGTGGACGAGGCTGACCGAGCACCACACCGGACCCGCCGCCTTTTATCAGGCAGCAGGCGGGGACCGGTGGGGTGGACATCGCCCACACGCGCACTGCAGGGGAGTGGGCCCGGCCTGTTCAGGCTCGGACGGCCCAGCCCATGTGCTTTACTGTCTCCCTGCCCTACCCCTGTTCCCGAACCACACCCGCATAAAGATCCTAACCACCCTCGCTTGGCATACCAACCCAACTACGTATAATCGAAGCAGCTCATACCATGCATTTATGCTGTCATGATTCCACAACGGGGAGAGAGAGAGAGAGAGAGAGAGAGGAGG